TTCATTGCCAAAATAAAAAACTACTTTAATAGATTGTATATACGACTATCGTGAATCGTGATACAAGTTTACAACTACATAAGAAAATATTTAATGTGACGTTGAGATGATAATATTATGATGGGTATTGCGAGATTTTTAAAACAAGTATTTATTGCTGAATAAATTTATTAATATAAAATATATATTAAAACCAAGTTAAATAAACAAAATATATCATATCTGAAGGCTTTATAAAATATTATTTTAATTAAATACATATTTAAAAATATGACACCAATATTATCTTTGTCTTTCATTCGCGAAACGCCGAAACCGATGAGTAATGTATTGGTATATGATTCCCTTCACTGCCTTCAATATACAAACAAATTATTATACTATAGATTTACACTGCAAACATTTATTTCCATGAGCAATTATAGGGGTCTCCAAATCATTGACTTAAAAGGGCTACGACCGGAGGTTCATGGCCTAGAAGCTGAAACCAAACAGACGCGCGACACTGTACGAAACGTAACAAAATTAAAAATAAAACCAAACATATTATCAAGAAGAACAACTATTTGAAAATTCAAGGAATTAATTTTATTTAGTTTAGTTATAAAATAAAATTATTTTGGTTTAATGAAATTGAATTTTATAAATGTGTGTATAACAAGTAAATTTAGTCATTACGAAATATATAAAATTCGATTTTTTGTTTTTGTTAAAATATTTTTGTTTTTATTGCATTTATTCGGAAATATTAATTTTTTATAATTATTGTTTTGGTTTTTTTTTTTTTTTTAAATAAAATGCTCCTAGTCTAAGCTATCTATACCTATAGATAAATACAGATTTTAAGTTTTAACTATTTTAACATGATGAAAATAATAATAAATTGCGGTGATAAATAAATTGTTTTGGGTAAGAAAACTTGAAAATTGAATACTAGGTTCCTCGTAAATTGTTGTTACAGCAATAAAAAAAAATATCAAAAATACAGTCAATTTTTTTTTTTTATAATGGTTTGCAATTCAAATGTTGACATTACAGCATATCTATGTATATGTTTATGCAAAACGTACAGGTAATAACAATTTACCTTCAAATAGTTTTTGTTATTTTGCTATTCCTTATTTTTCAAAAAATATTTATATTAAACACATGAAACATTCCTCTATTTCTTAAATAAACAAAATATTTAGACTAATTTTAACCTATTTACAAGTATTTTAAATGTTCGTATTATTTTTAGCTTTTTTCTATAAATGTTGAAAAATTGTTTGGCACAAGGATTGTAGGATTCAAAATCCTAGAAAATCTATGATAAGATTTTTCCTAAGTTGTAAATAGTAATTTTAGCTATTTAAAAATATTAAAAAGGTGCTCTGCTGTACAGTAGGTTACAAGTGGGTCAATGTATAATGGATGGTATTAAATTTGAATTCAATGACATAATATCATTGTATATAAGAAAAACGATTCTGGGCGGAGACGGTATGTCAGTCTAGGTATAAGACATATTATATACTTATCTATGGTATTAAAAAAAATTTACCTATAATAAATTCCAAATTAATCATATCACAATATAAATTAGGTACTTATAACTCGTTATACATCAACAACAAACCCTGATACTATCATAGATTTATAATAGTGTACTTTAGAAGTTTCAAGTTCCCTCGAATAATATTATACAACCACAACAAAATAACTAAAATAGTTATTCTAGGTTTTTAATATTTAATTTCGTTCAAAAATGAACTTAAAATGACTATAAAAATAAACTGTGCTTATGTATTATTTTTAGATTTTTTGGTAACAGAATTAACTACTAACGTGGAATCTTGTTTTAAATTTTCAATCCTTAGTTATAAAAGTTTATGGAAAAAATAAACTAAAAAAATTGGAAACTGAAAATGTCCCTAAACAGTTCAAAATAAGTCAAAATATTTCAAAAAAACGCACGGTGTATAGAAAATGCTAATATAAACAGTCAGTAAAAATGTCATGTATCTACGGTCATTTGTTTTAGAGTTACACAAAAAACCAAAATCGATTTTCTCGAAAACAGATTTTGCGTTAAAATTCCTGTTTTTCCTTAATTTTTCTTTTGTTTTTCGCAGTGCGTTTGAAAACTACTTTTGATCCCCCAAAGTAGCAACTAGATTCACTTTCCTATCAGAAAAGATACGGTTGAAGAAAATCCAAGCACTTTTACTGTCCTAAAAGGTGATGACAGACAAAAAAAAAAATTAAAATAAAAACACACATCATTGTAAAATCAATACATTCATCTTTTCACTCGGAATCTAAAATATAAAGGTAACATGTTTTTATATACTTTTGAAGTTCCAATAATGACAAAATTGGATATTTTCCGAACAATAACTATTTCTCTTCTTTTGTTGTTTTAATTATTCAACATACATTAAGCGTGGGGACTTGAATTTTTTCGTCATTACATAATATATTATTATTATTTTAAGCAACTTATACGGCTATACTACAAACCTACACACGCTGGTCTACTTTATTGACTTATAATTTATAATAATGATAACACAATATGATACCTATAACGTTATAATAATTAATAATATAATATCCTGAGAAAATATAGAGTCTGACACACCACCTCCGCTCAGAACCATTTTTCGTACATATTATGTAATAATTTATCGTTGGATTAAAATTTATCACATTCATTACATTACGTGACCTACCTACCCTGCAATGACGAGGTACACTCGAAATCTAGTATACAGCATATAGTGACTTCTCCAGTTTTTTTTAACAGTTAATGGATGATCATAGAGATAGTCAGAACATTATCGAGTCTGACATTAATAAATAAAATTTGTTTTGGCAATTTAACAAAGTAATCAGCCTTTTATACGCAGACGTATAGATTCAGAATTTTAATTTGTTGGAAGGCATTCAGAAGTGCATATTATGAATTATTTTATGTATATAATAATATAAAATAATTAACCAACAAAGAAAAATAAACAGTGTCATAATAATATAATTAATAATTATTATGGATTCGAAGGGAGATTATACTCTATGTGCATACTCGAGCCTGATTATTCGAACAACAAATAAATCGTGAGTACTAAAAGTCGAATTACATTTTTACTATGAAATACAACTATTAAAACAATGATTAATAATCTAAAAATCAAATCGTTTATAGAATTACTGAATTTCAGCTAGGTATATAATATTCCGTTAGGTAACTATTCAAACAAGTTTTTAGTTTAAGCTCGTAATACATTGAAAATTGCAATAACCTAATCAAATTTGTTTAACAAATTAATGGAACATGCAGTGTACATACTACATATACATAATAATCATGATATGAGCGTAAAACGAAAATGTGAAATTTATTAAATTTTAAGTTGGCTTAGACAGACAAAACGGGAGAAAAAAGAATCAAGCTATACTTTAGAGGTGCGGTGAGTAGGAGACCATTGTTGTGAGGATGCAGGCAGGTGTGTTTTATAACATCTGCCAACTGGTTTGGTTCACCTTACAAAATAATATAATCAACAATAAAGACCTACTTATAGCTACTTCATACAGTGTAACTGCTGCTGCCTAGTGTAAATTCGATAGAACGTTACTAAACTTTTCGAACCAGGCCAAACATTTTTAATCTCAATAAATTATATTCTACGTACAAAAATGATTTAATGTAATCGAAGAAACCTTAACTATGTGAATTTTCAATATGTACGGGCTAGATATGGTTGTTTTGTTCGAATTTAAAAAATGTAGCTACATTCTTATTAGTTATTACTTATTAACAATGTAAAATAATATCACGGACACCCAGTCATTCCAAGACGTTCCAAATCCTTTACCAGTTACATCGGATGATAGGGGTCATATACCTGACGTCAGTATATAGAAATTATGACATGACAATAAAATACATTTGTGTTTATAATATTTTATTAATAAATGGCAAACAAGTTCAAATAGTCATCAACCTAATTTAAATAAAATCTATACATAATGTCATAATATAATAAATAAATATTATAGTGAAGCAATGATGAAAAAAATTATAGGGTAAAACTAAGGCCTATAAAATGTTGTGCAGTAGGACATTTATTAGAGCATACTTTTTTAAATGTGATTTTATCTTAAGGATTAGTAATTTAAGCTACATACACAAATGATTTAAATTTTTTTATATTTACATTGTATTATTCTGGAGATAATCACAAATATACAATAACCAATAAACAATATAAACTTATATTATTTTATTAAATTAAAAACATTTTCAAACGTCGAATAATAAAACATAATTCGTATCAAAGACTTTTATTCAGAGGAAACCAATGCAAACGGCAGTCGATGTATTATGGAAGTCAAGATAATTATAGTCGTGATGTTATAAGCTCTATTTTTACAAACACGCTTAAAATTGTTCGAACTCTGCTATTATACCAAAAGATAATTTTATGCATCTATTGTTGTGTCTTGTGTGCAGTACAAAATAGCAAATGTAGTGTATTAATATAGTTACACTATAAAAAATATAGGTAGGTAGTACACCTAGCTTATTGAAATGCGTTAGAATTTTCCAAGAACTGTTTATAAAACTTCTCCCATCCACAAACTATAAGCTAGACTATATTTTTTTTATAAATATAATATATAGTATGCAGAAAAATAGTGAGGTATGAATTGTCTTTTTTACATAGGAGCTGATGTATTATATAAAATTGATATTTTGTACCACAGATGATAAGACATTCGGAAAAGCATATTAAGATACATATAGGTACAATATAAAATATAATATATTATAGATAGAAAGCCCGAATATTATAATACAGCTTGTGCATAAAGCGTCTGCTTTAAGACAGCGGTTAAGACGAGAATATAATAATGTAATTATTATTCTAATGTTTTACACGACGACATCATTCCGTGTACCTCCACATTAAAATGATATAAATATAGAGAAGTGAAGATAATTTCGAATATACCTGATGTTTTATAACATTATCATCATCGGGCGATGAGTATATCAGTCGACCGTACGAATATTTGCAGTGCTCTTTGTCGACGTCGTCGTCGCCGACGCGGTCATGCTGCAGCTGCAAGTCGACCGCGCCGCCGTCCGCGTGACAGTACGACTTATTGTTGTAGCCGCCGTAACCGTCGAGCTGCGTGAGGGCCAGCAGACCGATTCCGGTTGAGCCCCCTTCGTCTTTGCAACGGACACCGGCACCGCTGCCCACGATAACGCCGCCACAACCACCGATGTCCGCCACGACGGCGGCATTACCGCAACCGCCGACAGTATCCATGACCGCGGAACCTGAGTCGGCAGGCGGGGAACTGTGTTGCAAGCAGTCGACGGGCGTCATATGGGGTTCGGGTTTCACGTCCACTTCGAGCTTGATAGGGCTGTAAGGGGCCGTGCCGGCTGAGAGCCTGAGATAGAAATAAGGGTCGCCCCCGCAGGGCGTCTCGTCTTCTCTGGTACGGTAGTGGTGCATGCCGGCGGCTGGCGATGATGGTCACCCCGGCGGTCGTGGTGGTATCGTACTATATAATATTATAATAGTACTACGAAAATCGTATACGACGGTCACTCTACTCCTCCTACGCCGCCTGCGTATATGCACACCACCCTCTTTGCCCGAATATTTTCTGTTCCCCCGTCACACGCGAAATACGCGACGACGATGATGATGTCGACGACGGGGCGCGCACAGATGGTCGCTGTGAGGTACACACGCGCACGCACACGTCAGATAAACTCTCTCACACACACACACACGCACGCGCGAAACGACACACGGACACGGCGGCGGCACGACGACGACGACGACGGAAACAACGCACGCAGCACGTGACGACGACGTACGAGAGGTCTCCCCGTCTGCGTCTCTATGAATCTCTCTCACTCGCTCTCACTCAACACGCGAAGCCACGCACTGCTGGGCGGAGACTAGGAGGACGGCTTCGGCATCGTGTCCATTGTCACGGAAAGCCGCCGTTACACTGAAACGCGGGCCGCGCTGTTACGGCGAAGGAGCAACAGGCTCTACGTACGAACACACGATGCTATACGAGCGCGCACGCAACCGTGTGCGTGTGCGTATGCTTCGTATAATATGATATATATTATATACATATACATGTATACGCCACCACCTCTAAGCCGCTGCCGTACACTGTGTAGCCGCCGCCGCCGCACTACCACCTGCCTATGCCATCGCCGCCGCATAAACTATACTACTATGTACGTATATACCCGTGTGTATATATAATATTATATATATCATAATGTATATGGCACATATATGTATATAATATATATACATATATAATGGATATGGCGAGTATATATATATATATATACCGTGCGACGTGCGTGTATATAGTAATACAGCAGAATAAAACGCGGAGGATATGCACTATAGTAATACGACGATCGTGTGTACAGACCCCTCGCGCAACACTGCTGCCAACCATGGACGACGCTTCTCCTCTTAGCTCTGCGCTCGCCGCCTCTGCTGCTGCAGCAGAACTGCCGCGGGATAAAAAAAAATACACGATAGATATAATAATACATAATGTATTTTATGTAGTATGTACGCGCGGGTCTCACCGGAACAATACACACAACACGACACAATCATCGTAGTACCGAACAATTTTTTTTTCTCCCAAACAATAACGCGTTTAATGAATACGTTTTTTTTATATTTCAAACACCGTATAAATGTTTCGATTAATATTACACACACACACGGGGCGCCGTAAGTCACAAGTCAAAAACGAATACATCGCCCGACAGATGATCGTCGTCCTATAAATTATAAAAGACAACATTTCAGCGGTATAGTCGGCACTACCACTCGTTTTGCCGGACCGTGTTATACGCACGCAAACGATAGCAACAGATAAAATAATATTGCATGCCTATATAGTGTGAAAATATACTGTGCGTCTATCACGGAATTATATTTATATATTTTATGCCATTAGTATCTATTGTTGGTCAACCGTATTGAGTTGAAATATTTCTTAAAATGTCATAACTTCGACTAATACCACCATACTCGTCAGTAAATTATAATATTATAAGTTTAAAATACCAAAAAGAGTACGCCAGTACGGACGAAAAAATATTTTAACTAGTATATAAACTAGGTTTACTTAAAATTATTACATTTCGATCTTTTGTTATTGCATATTTATTAGTTATATAATAAGTATACACCTGCGTCTTACGTAAAATATATTTTATTTTTTCTATGGTATATATAACTTCAATAGTGTATTTCATTTCAGTATTATACTGAAACGATGCTCACTCGAGACGAAAATTAAGCTATAGGTACATTTAAAATAACCTAATCAGCATGATGAACTATTTTAAAATAATGTAGAAATCTGCATGATGCTATTCCTAAATAAAATATGGTATCAATTTTAAAGCCATACGTATTTTATGAACAGACAACAGGGATGAAATTTAATAGGCGCATTGGCAAGCAAGCTAGGAGCTATAACACTATCCCCTCGATGGTATATGGTATGGTTAATATGGAAATCAGATATTCAAGATCCTCATATCCTGCATCATAATATGAAGGTTCATCTTACATAATTTTACAAGGGTTCCTTACCCTATTAAACAAAAACTAGATTTCACTGATAAAAGCTTTTTACATCTATTTTATTTAACGTTCTACTATATAATATAATATAATATATTAAAATAAATACTTTCCGTAAATTGTATGACATTTTTTTATGACAACACTTTTCCAAATAAATAAATACTAAGTTACTAAAGATATATAACTTTCAATTTATTTTTAATATTTTAATAATAATAACAATTATTGTTATTTTATTCACATTCTACGAGTATAATCAAAAAAAATATATTAGGTATATATTTATATATATAATATATCAAACTTCACCAAGTATATTATATGTACGATTACGTGCGTACATGCGTAATGTCTGTTTTATCACAATTGATGCAATGTTTTTAAAAACCAATGATTTTTCTAATAAAAACAGTATTTTTAACAAAAATTACTAATAATTCGCAAAACAAAAGACTCTTTTCATTAATTTCCTACTAATTACTTAGGAACCATACTTTTCTTCTAATATTAACGAAATTATTATTCAAAAACTTATTTCATCAAGTCATTATGAAATGGGTATGCCGTTAAAAATTAAGATTTCATTCATTAAAACTAAAGAGCCCTTGCCGTTCAAGGCATTGGTCATGGGCCAGCCATGAGCTGGAGGGAAGTGGTAGACGCACCATGACGGCGGTGTTGTCTGAATAGTTACAACCGAACACTGTGTGCTGCCACGGTGTATCCTACCTACATCGGATGCCACTTTGCCAGATGTTTCAAACTATTGAACTACTGGTCCTTTCTTGCTTCGCTACAAAAATTATATTACTGCAACACACGTATATAATAATAATATCGCACTACCCCATCGCCGCGGAGGCCGAAAAGCGAACATACGTGAGAGCACGCTTCAAAGACGGACAAAAAAAATGGAACGTTTTAGTAAACCCGTGCACAAAAAGAAAAAGGGGACCAAATACTATACAATATATTTATGAAAAAAAAAGGTTAACAAATTACATTAAAATCAACATTTGTTACGCAGCATCATATAAATTCCATAAATAATACACAGTCCGGCGTTGGTTTTTATGAACCCGAATCTCAACCAGCACATGTATTTAAAAATCATCAAACACGAACTATAATATAGGTGCATATAGTGTATAATACAAATATTTATTGGTTATAAATTATATAATATATATTTTATTAATATAGGTGTAAATAGTTTTGCTAAGAATGCTGGAAATCTAAATATATATTTAAAAGATGTAATTTATAAATGAAAGATTAGTGATTTTTATTTTATCAAAGGGATAGTAAATAGGGTGTCTATAAAGTCTAAACACATTCAAATAAAAGTTTAATCAATTTCTACACCAATGAAAATTTAATTCACAAGTAATAAATAGCGAACAATAGAGCATTATCATATTTAAATTTCTAGGCATTCCAAATTAATAACGTATTAAACAACTTTTAACAAAAATTATTCATAACTCATGTCTCATACTAAATAAATAATAAACCAAAGTGCTTATTTATAACCAGAAAGGCACAACAAATATGTATTGGCTTCGTTTAAAACTTTCGTATACCAAATCTTGCACCAATTTCGATCAATATATTTTATATTATGTTATTAGGTAATGATTACTGATCACGTGTAATTGTTATATTGAGTTTTAAATATATAAGGATTTGGGATAGATCATTAGATAAAAATAATAATAAATGTACAGAATACATTATAAAATAAAAATATAATGGATAAATCCGAGATTCGGCCAAAATATTTTTCGATTCTCGAACTTAGTAAATATTATTTTGTATTCGTACTTTATTTATAGCATTCTATAGGTTATGATTTATAAATACATACATAAATTGATCTGTTTCTAATACTAATTAATACTAATTTTACGTACATAAAATATCTTAGAAAAATTGTAATAAAACATATTTTATTTTATTTAAGGTTTGAGAAATTTACAAAATTTTCTACAAAAATTAAAGAATGATTAAATTGTTTTTACCAAAAACGTTGGTATTGGAAACATTTATTTTCTAAGCTACCTATTGTACCAATATACATTTAAATTACACATTATTGCGGATATTTAATTTATTTACATGTTAAAAACTAGAACAAAGGAATTGCTAAGAGTACGTGCTTGTTAAGCTGTATAAATAAAAACAAGTGTTTTTAGTTTCCTTTGTTAGGGTTAAATATGAAGAACCATACATTGTAAACATTACTTACCAATGGGCAATGGATCAAATAACTTAAGCAAAAAATATGCCTTTTGTATATTAGAAATGTATAATACTTTTAAATTTCAAAAACTGAAATATATTTATTATTTAATATCAAAGAAAAAAAAATATAAAATATTTATACATATATTTATGCCAACATATTTTGTTATAATAATAATTATAATTTATAACAAATCCGATAATTTCACAAGGCTTAAAGAATAACACTAGAAAAAATCGTGATCAATTCTATACAATAACACACAACAGCACACTACATACATGCGCGCGGAATAAAATTGTTTAAACCACTAAAAAATAATCTTAAACCTCAAAAGGTATCTAAAATTAAAGGTGCAAGACCTGGTATATCAAAAATGTATATTGGGATACCAAGAAGCAAATTATATTGTACTATATATCTATCAAATTAAAAATAAGAAAATAGGCATGTATTTTTGTTCTACTGTTTTCGATTATTTAAGTTTTTGTATTGAAACACAAACTATAAATAATTAAACAATATGAACTAAAATAGTAAAATCTTACCCAATGATGGGGGACTTCAACTTCGGATGGCTCTGCTGGTGGCGAGTCTATACTCTGTAAATAATAAAATTAAATATTAAACTGAGTGATAGGATACAATTTTTTTTAATTTTTAACTATTACCTACTTATCTATAATAATTATATATTATTATTATAATTTATAATTTAAATGTTTAGTAAATATTTTTGTAACCTATAAAATTCAAGTAAAATTTAAATGACGTCAAACAAATAATATTGCCAAATGTTTAGCCATGATTTTTTTTATTTATTGCTTCCTACAAAACCTAATTTATAAGGATAGATACCATCAATCAGCGTTAGCTATAAATAGATCGGTGTTGGTGAGTTGCGGCCCAAACCCTAAATAGCGTACGAGTTGCGGCCCGGGTTTATGAGGGGAACGTACGAATTGCGGGCCGGGTTTATGAGAGGTAAATAGATAATGCTCGATGGATGGTAGTGATGATTAAAATTGGTCTTGGTCTATAGCGGTCTCGCAAGACTCTTGCTGCAAGACCAAGATGGTACTGGTCTAGCAAGACCAAGATAGCTGAAAAAGACCAAACCAATACCGAAGCGGCAAGACCAAGACAAAACTTTTACTGCAAGACTCTTGCAGTCTTGCAATTTTTTTTTTGCCCGAAAACACATTAGTGTATCTAGATTCCATTAACTAATAATTTATAACGAAAATAATAAGAATTTATTTATATTGTTATGAAATTTTATCAGTATTCGAGGAAATTACGAATTATTGAAAAAAAGATAAAAAATATAATAGGAATTAATATTACAAAACAACAGTTCTTTCATACTAATTAAGTATTAACAATTCCTGAAAAATGTTTTTTTTTTCCCAAAATCGATAAGTTTCATCTTAGAGATCATAGCAAAAAACCTAAACAAAACTACAACAGGTATTTAGTTAATAGGTGTATACACAGACCAAGACCAAGATTTTAAAAGTATTGGTCTTGGTCTTGTTTTGATCATCCACTAATAGATGCGGTCAAATATGTATAGTTACGAATTATGAACCTATTAATAATTTGAAGCTAGTTTGGGACGTTTGGGTTAAAAGTAGAAATTTCTCAGTATTGTTCAAAATAATCTTGAAAAAAAATTACGCAAAACCTGTTTTGGACAAAATCGAATTCGTTTTTTTGTTGTAATTTTAATAAAAAATAACCGTAGACTTAAAATGTTCAATAAATATTTATATATTTATGCATTTTTAATACATGATCACATTTTTAAAATATTTGACTCTAATTGAGCTATTTATGGACAATTTAAATGTTCGACTTATGTAGATGTGGTAAAATTTTTGTTAAAATTAATGAAAATTTAAGACAAGGTTTCTAATACGTTTTTCGTACATAAATTAAAAATATGGAAAATACTTAGTCACAATTTATTTTTAAATATAACGTTTGAATTTAAAATATTGCGTGGAAATTGCGAATTATTTTGTAAACGTAATTATATATAGGCTGAAATACCGTTTTCAATCGAAATCGTTTTCGATACAATTTTTTTGTCATTGAATTCATTCAAATTTAACATTTCCATTAACTACAGTTAACACAACATTAACACTCGACACCTACTAAACAGCGGAGCGCGAATACCTCTGTTTTTAGTAAAATTACGAACAACTAAATTAAGAAGAATGTGTTGTTATATATGATGCTATAGCAATGCATTTATCTATTATCAAACTTAAAATTCAGAACATTATCTGTCTTTAAACGTGGGCTTGTTTATGATTTTTTGCAAGTTACATGATTATGTATAAATTATTACAATTTAAAAATGCTTATATCTCGTTTTAAAATGTAAACATCATAAAAAAAGCTTACACAAACACAGATAATGTTTTTAATTTGAAGTTTGATAATAAGAGAATTCACTCTAATACTTAAACCAATAACACAGAGTTAATTCTACTGAACAAAACTTTTCTATGGTGCACAATGCACATGGATATAAAATTGAGGCAACAAATAGTGCACTGAACATTTTTTAAATTTGTACTCAGTAATCTGTATTTAATTTATGATTTTATCGACGTGCAATGACTTTGAAAAAATATATCGGAAATAGGTGTATACACTTTTGATTATTATTCTTGATACAACATCAACAACTAAGGTTATTACTTATTAGTTTAAAAAAAATTGCGAAATAAAGATAATTAAGATAATTTAATTATGTTACATTGTTACACAATTAAACAAACAATGAAAATGGTTAAATACCAATACTTTTACATCATGTTGATTGATTTTAGACAAATTAAAATTAGAAACAAATTAGAAGGAACAGAGATCTTCACCGCAGTCAGGATTTAAATTTTGAAAATATCAAATAAAGAGGAAGTTTAAGATTTTAAAAGTTTGAAATTTTTGTTAGGAAATAGAATTTTAATTTTAAGTATTTTTTGATACAAAACTATTGCACTGAATTTGAGCTGAACTAGGTATATTTCAAAAAACATAAACCAACATTTTCATTTCTTTATAGTTGAAACTTAGAATCTCAAATATTATATAGTATCTACTTTAAATTGCTTAAGAAGGATGTGAAACCCGCATTTGTTGTTGCCATTTATAGCAAACAAACGAACAATACACCAAATTTGAGTTCAGCAGAACCAATTTTGGGTTGATAGCTTAAAATAAAGAGTAAATCGACTTATACTATCAAACTTAAAAGTTAAAGATAAGAACATTATCTGTGTTTTTACGAGTCAACACTTCAATTTTTAAGTTATAATTGGGTAATATATTAACTATTTTTAAGTGCTCATAAATCGATTAAAAATTAAAATATAGTAAAAAAATTACTTGTAAACACGGTTAATCTTATATTTTAGTTGATCCAATTCACTCTAATATTAAAACTAACAAAACAAAATTGAATCTGATTAGTAAAAACTGAACGTACATTTCCTGATGTACGTTAGACGTAGACAACATTTCGTATAAGATAATTTTAAGTACTCATAAGTTACCAATGTAAATACTTCGATAATTTATGTACAAACAATTTAATATCATTCACTCGAATAAACTCGCTAGCAAAGGTTCAACGAATTTTTTAATGCTTTAATTACTTTTTATCAAAACGAAATTAATAGTTTAATAATTTCTATAAATTATAGAAAAATTGTGTAAGTTATAATTTTGTAAATTTAAATCTAATATTATCACTTATATCACAAGATGTAACAAATGGTGATCAGTAATGTGACCCACAAATGTGTATTGTATTAAAAATATGTTTTAGGTACTTTTAAAAATTATTTAAAATTTAAATGCAATGTTAGAAATGTATTAAAAACCTATGGAAACAAAGTTTTTAACGTTAAAATTTTTTATGAAAATGTTCATATAATAAATGTTCACATTTCAGACAAATCGTGTATCGGTAAAAAAACGTAAAATTAATGTAATTTGTTAATTATTTTTAAAACTACGTCCGTTTAACTGTTCGTTCTTATTTATTACCACATAAGTACTGTAGTATCATCTTAGCTCTAAGGAGTGAGGAGGGGTGATTCATACAATTTTCGCAATCTGAAATATTCAGCTCTATCTCAAATCTGCATTTTAAGTATTTTTAACTTATTATTTATTGCTTCTAATTTACAGAACAAGTGTGCTTCCCCTTTAGGCTACCAAACGTCATAATATTAAGTGGAAATTGGTTAATCTCTCATAGTTAACTTTGTAACATAGGACCAAACGATATGAACAAATTATTTCAAAAACAAATCAACTTGTTTATAACATGCAATAATAATTATTATATTAACTAATAAAAAATAAACCAGCTAAACAACTACTAGATCTAAAAAGCAAGTTCAATATGAACACACATATCTTAATTATTCTTAAATATAATAAATTAAGTTTTTGTTTCAACAAAAATAATTTAAAAATTACTACCAAGCTTATCTGTATTTTGTAATATAATTAAAAAAAAAATTAATATTATGACCACATTACCTAACAATAAAATTGACTAAATATAAAAAGTTTGCATAAAAGGAATATTAATAGGTATTTATATTTTTATTTCGTAAAAACTTCGACACTATTAGACTAAAAAGCATAAATGTAAATATAAAATTATAACTTACAAATAAAAGTAATGCAGATAAATGAAATTAACAAAATATACTATAGATATTCATGCAAATAAATATAAAATATAAATAGTTTTTATCTGGTATATAAGCAGATTAATAGCTTCTATTAATAGTTAGAAATAATGATAGTAAGGTGTAGATATAAAAATGTATACCTAATATTATGTACCCATAATTAAAAATACCTACTAGGTAAAAAAATATTAACATTTTATGTAACAATTTATTACCTCTCTTTTTCTTTTAACTGCAGTACCAGCAGTAGTTGTTGGAAGAGGCTTACGTGGAGTATTACCAAATGGAAAATATGGAGAGTCTGGGCTGAAAGTTTCAGGGCCAGATGCAAAATTATTACCATATGCCTAAAACAATATTTAATAAAAAAAAATTGTTATATCTTCAAATCTGTATCTTATTTATTTGTCAATTAAAACTAAATAGTTAAGTACCCCAAAAAATAATTAAAGGAAATATTATTTAGTATTTTAGATTTGAAATAAATTAGAAATAACCGAGGAAATCGTATTAATTTGTTAATTACAACTAATGGAAAAAAAAAGGTAAAATCATGAAAGAGGAGTACATGAGGAAGATCACTTAAAAGTTATTATTAAAATATACAAAAAAAGGATGTACAATGTAACAAGTGACAAATCAACATACCATTCCATTTTCTATATTATATGGTGGCTGAAATCCAGATTTTTCTGTAACAGAAATAAAAACACAAGGAATAATTAATAAACAATTTTAATTAACTAGATACAAATTATACATTCTAATGATGAACACAGGTACAATTAATATTTGAATCATTAAAATAATGATTTTATATTTAAACTTGATATACTAGGTCAATTAACAAATACCTAATCCAGTTTTAAATTGATTGTGATACTAAATAGTAAGATTTTAAAGATTGTTTAGTAACAACTGAATTGGCTATTAAACATTGGTGAATCCATTATCCAACTCATTAGGTACATTGTATATTATAATATGTATTTATGGAGTTAATAATTTAATAAGGTAATTAGATATTGTTTCATGAAACCGGATATTGTAAGTTACATTCGAAATATTTAAGGCTAAGTTTACTCGACCAAACTTATTATTTAATTACCTAGGTACCAATAAACATATTTCAATAAATTACCTAAATAAATTTGAAATTAAAACCGATTTTAAGTGGTTTTTTATTTTTGTAAAAGATGAGAAATATTAAAAAAATGCTTAGGAAATTTTTTTTTTAAAAATAACCATACCAATATTGTACTGTGAGTAAAATTATACTAACACTGCAGTAAAATTAAATGTATTTTGAAACACAAAACCTAAAGGCTGATGAATTTTGCAAACTCTTTAACAATAGGTACCTACAACATAATTTAAAACAAATATAGGTAAACAATAAAAAATAGTAGGAACGTAACAACAATTTAAACACCTAATGAACCTAATCGATTTTTTTCTAAACATTTCAATAATATTATGTACCTACTTATGTGACAACTAAATATTTATAATATAAATGCCAAATGGGTTACCTAATATTATTTGTATAGATAGGTAACATGACTGTAGCTATAAGTTGCAATCAATAATAAATATGGTTATGAACCTAGGTATGAACATGGCTAAATATATTAAGCAATAGAAATGAATATAAATTATATGATCGGCAAAGGTTGTGAACCGATTTCATAATTAAAAAGTATGGACATCAAGAACAATAATTAGATGATAATTACAGTGAATTGTGATACAATCCTAATATTGGGTTTGGGTATACGTTTTCACCATCACAATCGTATATAGAGTTAATCGCGGAAATAAAATAATGACAATATTGTAATATATAAATAGGAGAGTGTTGTAATCATAACCAACATGTGAATACGAAACGGACGAATCGAATATTCTCATCACAACATACGTCGTTCGACCAGCGCTCACAGCCTTAGTAAATGAAAAAATGAACGGGTTAAAGTATTTCGGAGCACGTCCAGGCCGTGGACCGAGCGTAGTCGTGTTATCGCAAAAGAAACGCGTCGCATACGGGAATAATTTCGGGACTCATCGACGACGACGCGCGGACGTGCAAAAACGCGTCGGTCGACGAAAAGTCGGGGGGCGATGTAATGGTGATAAAAAAAACAAAAAATGAATTATAAAAATCGGCCCGGAACACGTCCAGCGAGTCCGTACGGCTTTACACCTCCAGCCCCAGCGGCAATAAAGTAACGACACCAACCTGGTTGTTTATTCGCGATCTTGTTGAAGCAGTTCTGGAACACCTCGTACAAGTGCATCGGTTCGTCGTCGCTTGTCGCCATTTTGTGATTTCTTCGATATTACAAGCCCATCGGATTGAAAACATAACACGACGAACTTTCACGGATCATAAACATGCGAACGGCACTGCAAGAACAACATTGCCGTGCGACATGGTGCCCGTGTACGCGGAAAGCGTCAGATGTCAGATCGTATCATACTATCCGTAACCACGGTGCAAAAAACACAAAACCGAAAAACCCTCGGCGGCGGCGGCGGCGCTGTCCTTCCTCCCCACTCTCCGCTACCAGCTGCCGTTGGCCAACTCGGCGCGACCGGTGGTGGCCGTGCGCCGGGAAGCGGTCGCGGGGCGAAGAGGAAGGGGGCGGTTTCCCCCTCTCGCGTCGACAGCCCCCTCTGCGACGACAAAATGACGCAGTGCAGACACCGGCGGAACACGGCTACTCTTTACGTCGACCAAACACGGTCTCCCGTACGTCCGTCGACTGATCGCGTTAGCTTCTAAAGCTCACTCGTCGGTTACTCGGTTCGTTCCATCCGTCGCGGCTAACGTTTTATTAGACTGTTTTATTACTTATTAGAAAAACCAGTGGCAGTGTGGTTTTCCGGCCGAGGATTTGTTTGTCCATTACTACATTTCTTGTTCATAAAAATACATTGTTAATCACAATAACACGTATATTATTAGTCCGTTTCCATTCTCCGAAACCGAACTCGTATCCAGTGTCGCCGAAGTCTTTTGAAACGCCTATGACAGTTGTATGATTTACCTAATTATTTTCAAAACTAAAGAACCCACCCGCCTACAATTACTAAGAAAAAATTCTCTAAATATTAATTTACCTACTTATGGTATTTGTCATAATATGAAAACCGACTTTCTGCGTCTCTGAATAACTCTGATCGTATCGAATTATTCTCGTGCTGTGTGGACGGTGCCAGTATGTGGCAGCAAATCATTCGAAAAGATCATTTGCTAATCGCAATAAACCAATAATAATAAAAATTAAAAACACTATCGGACTTTCTGGATCAAAATTCTAAAATGAATATCAATTTGAACTTGGAAATATGAACATAAAATTTATGATTTTTGTGATGGTCATATCCAGGGTGAACTGAAGCCCATTTGGCCCCCTATATACCTACTGGCTACTACTACAGCTTCGACTTTTTGAAATTAATTTTTGACTTTTGGTTATTAATTATAGTAAATAGGTGGGTAGGAGATAAATATTTTAAAATTTAAAATTTAATTTATGTAATATTAGGTAATATTTTGTTATTTATATCTAATGTACTTTAATCATAGTTAAAATTTTGACGTAAAAATTAACGTGATAGATAGTCATATTATCTATATATATTATTTCACTTAGGTAGGTAAGTTGTAGCCTGTAGGTACCTAGTACCTACACGGCTACACCGCAATAATTTAAAGAATATTGAATTGCTTAATAAGTAGATAACTGAAATTAAACCTATTTACAACTATTTGATTGGTTGTGCTTTATTTATTAGCAGCTATATGGAATTAGTTGTATTGTTCTGTGGTTGTACTTGAAGCGATCTTAACTCTTAAGAGGACTCCACACCCGCATGTGTTGTCTCTGTCTAACAAGTTCGTAGCAAAGCAAATTTACGCTCAGCAGATCACGTTTAGTGCCGTTAGTTTAGAGATAAGAGTGAATCGACCTATTACGAAATTTTATGGTAAGAACATTATCTGTGTTCGTATAATGTTTTTTACGATTATACTCAGTTTTTAAGTGAGTTATGAGCATTTTTAATTTACGTTTTATTGTATTATATAAGCGTAAAATGTTAATAAATTGAGCTATGAACTATCGTAAAAAAATATCATGCGAACACAGTTAATGATCTTACCACCAAGTTTCATAATAGGTTCACTCGATTCATTCTATTTTTAAAGTAACGGAACTAAACATGATCTTCCCTTAGCCCGCTTAGCCCCCTAAATATTTCAATAGCCTCCCCAAAATCAAAATGTTATTATTATTGTTTTTCGTTTTAATAATAATCTGTTAATTTTTTTGAAAATTGTAAAATAGTATTTAACCAAAAAATGGCTCTAACAAACTACCATTAAAAATCATAGAAAAGGGACATCAGCTGTTTATTTAAGAACAATCCAATCCACCACCGACCGACCGAATTCATTGAAATATTGAATTTACAAACAAAATTATATTGTCAATACATCTACTATAGTAGTGACCAATATATATCTTATGAAAATACAAAACAGTCTACTGCAGAAGATTATTTCAGGACTAATTTTTTTTTATACCATCTTCGATGTAGTTATTACAAATTTAAAAAAACGATTTTCACTAGAAAGTCTTTAAGATGGATTCATCCATTTTTTCAATCTGAATTTTAATGATAGTCTTCATTTCATTAACCATTATCATGTAAATACCTAAATTAGATTACAATATTGATTCTTAAATGACAATATAATTATTAATATATTATTTTATATTTTTATTTAGTCTTTAATGGATGTGTCCAAATAATGTCTTAATTCAGAAATGACAGTGGTAAAATATGGTTAGGTTAATTAGGATAGGTAATTCAGGATAGGTTCACCGATCTTTCTTTACTATATGTCTATATATTGAAAAAGATTTGACCAAAAATATTAATAGCAATGATATTTTGAATATCTTTGTTGATAAAAATAGATATTTGGTATAAATAAAATGTTAATTATTGTTTAATATACCTTTTTTACTATTTTTTTTTATTACAACTTAAAATAAATATTTGGATTAGTAGTATGTTATACTTGTGTGTTGGTAGGGGGTGCGGGGGCGAAGCCCCTTCGGGTCACTTTACATTTTATTATTATAGCCCCCTAAAAATGCAACCAAATGTCCGCCTATGCTGCAGTGTTGTAAATTATTTTGATGTATCGAAATTATAAATAGTAGGTACGATCAACAAATAACAAATATGCTAAATGGTAGGAACTACATTTTTTGAATTACCAATTAAGTTTAATCTTAAAATGTTTATAATATATAAATATGTACTAAAAATTAAAATAAATACTCAACAAACAGCGAAACTGCATTTTCTTTTTTTTTAATTCAAAAGAAAAGTTTCTGTTTTCCGTTCTTTGATTTATGAAACAGATTTTGTACTTGAAAAGCATTGCCAAAAAATAATGCATTGTGCATTAAAATTTAAAATCGATACCCTAGACTAATAAGTATTTTCGGTTTAGTTTAACGGAGTGGATCACGTTGGTCCACTAGCTCCCAAGATGTTCTAAATAAAAATTGTCCTATAAATTTCGTCAACAATAATAATACTATAGTACTATACTACTATACCAGGTGGATTATTTTGTAGGAGATATAATAATATGACATCCGACCACCATGCAATTGCACAGTAGCAAAATTACCAAGTCCACCTATCATCATTTATCTACAATATCTCTTTATTTTCTAAATAGTAAACACCTACGCCCTACATATGTTAGTGGGTACTATCCAAATAAATATAGTACATTTTACTACATTTTCATGAAACAACATAATTTTGTTTGAAATTTATAAATAATAATTTGCAATATACGTCTACCTATAGATATAGCTAGGTGCCTATTTGGTACCTATTTGAAGTCATATACTCACATTTATGATAAATAAATAAATAAATTTAATTTACCATGCTCATATTGACATATTTTTTACTTTATCGTACCCAATTTGTTCATTAGGACGTATTCAATTATTTTTTAACCTCGTATTATAATATTAAATTATGACTATAACATAAGTCATAAATATTATTCTGAAATGACCCAGAGGGCAGAGAGTAATGAGTGTAATGATCAATGATCGGATTTTAAAATTGTTTTTAGAAGACAAAATAAAATTACCATCGAATAGTGAATACTAAATAGGTTATAATAGAGATATTAATTATTATTAAATATTAATAATTGTAATAATCTAACTAATCGTAATCACTAACCTACGGCCGTGTCGGTCACTACCAAATGCGATAACACGGCCAGAGTACAATAATAATGCGCTGTTGTGTTGAATCACACTGTACAATCGTATGTTAGAAGCGAGATCACGTCATCGTAACGATTTTGTACACATTTTCATTTTTCGTATTAATTTACGATACCACAAAATACTATCAAATATCATCGTATCGAGGCCCGATGGGTAAGTCGTGACCTGTGGAAATACAATTAACGTAATTTGTTTATTTATGCATTAATTATCTTTATATTGGTTTATTACTGGCATTACTGCTATCAAGTATTCGAGTGTACCTGCCTCGAGGTGGAAGCTCGCATCTGAACAACTCCACTAGTCCACTCGGTGTGACGATTAAGCTATTTACTATCTCATGTTTAGCAAGTACATGGTCATTTGTCATTTCTCGACATTTGATTTCAACATTAATATTGTTCGTCAATAAGTTTTTGTCATTGAGAATTATCTACAACCATACTGGATGGTTTCTAATGTTCAACATACATCAATACCGGAAGAATATGGCGAGTGTAAGTATTTTCACATACAATGATTCGCGTGTACAGAGTTATTCAGGAGGATTTACCAATTTGAACTGGTGTATAGGGTAATACATATTCCAATACTCCACCGTTTTAAATTAGTAATTCTCCATGATGTAAAGTGTATATTTACTACTAACTCTTGATATGATTAGTTTTAATTAGGGTTAGGTATTATATTGTTATCATATACACTATGTTAAACGTAGATTTGGATGTGACCATATTAAATTGTATGAAATACCTATACATTTTATTGATGTATTTATTTCTAATGTCAAATACTGTTTAGGTTGTATCTGATCAGAGCTAATAAAAAGTTAATATAACTCCTCGCCATTATAAAATATATTTTATTTTGTTGTGATAGTGGTTCACATCTTGAATACCTACAATATACATTCTAAGGGCCGCTTTCACCAAATACTTTAAACTTCAATTACGCTTAATCGACTGATAACAGATATTTAACCGGCCAAATTTGGACGATTAAACCCCGGTTTAACTTTAATCGAAGTTTAAAGTAGTGGTGAAAGTGGCCCTTAATGTATGGATTTTTGACCCAGGCTTATTAAATTTCAAAATTAAAATGAAATATTTATGGAATTATATATTTTAGGTACCAGTAGGTAAATTTTATCAAATAAGAAATTCAATTCAAAAATTCTGATGAATTGTTAGTAATGATTTAAAACATTTACAGTAGGTATGAAGTATTTCATATTTTTATCAACATTTAATTATTTTATATTAGGCATTGCCGTAGATCTTTTAAATGTACATTATTTCATGTATACATTAATTTTAATGTTAATTAATAATTAGTGATTATATTAATTAGCCATCTGGCAACTAGAGTTCATGTGATATTAAAAATAATCAAACTATAAAATATATTATTTAATTTATTACTACCTATCATCGTTGCTTTCTTTAGGAATAATAAAAATGACTTGATTGACTTCAATCATAATTTCTAGAAACATTATTGCCAATATCAAATTGATTAAAAACATCCCAATTTACTTGCATTTTACCTAATTAATTATTAATAATAAATAATAATAATATATTTCAATAAATTAAGAAAATCATACAATTTTACTTACAAAAATACTAAAATCTATACTCTATTCCAAATAAGATTGGGAGTCGGCGGCGACCAGTTTTCGTCGGGTGGCGGTCAGACATATGGCCAATTGGCCAGATGACGTCCTCACTACAGCAACGCGTCAGACGCTGCCACGTCCATGCGCACAACTCGGCCGTCGACTCCCGATCTTATTTGGAATAGAGTATAGTAAATTCATTTTCCTTTCAAATCAATTTTTTTTAATTCCACTTATTTATTTATCACAACAATCTGATAAACGGATTAGAAATAAAATAATTCTATTATTTTAAATAAAGTTTAATTGGATTTTTCTTAATTTTCAGCAAAGATTTTTGCATGTTTTGCCATATACTTACTTACATAAATAGAAACAAATTTTAATACATTTTATACTTAACTAAGTGTCCAAAGTGTGTTAAATTTATTCTGTTTTTTTTTTATTTATATTATTAATTTATGACTTAATATATAATATATTTTAATAGTTATTTGATAAGTCAGTATTTAGGAATTATCTGGTTATGCTAAAACTTTTAACAGATATTTTAAAATTTAAATATTTTAAGTTTTAAAGTTTGAAGTTACTTTTTAGCCTATGAAACAACATTGTAAAGTAAAATACTCTTTTAAGAAAAACACTAAACTTAAGTTATAAAGTGTATAATTTTTTTTACCATTTTTATTATATAAGCACAATGCACAAACTATAATTGCAAATTGTAAGATAAACTTACAATAGTTTAAATTCATCTATTTAAAAAAATAATATATGATAGGTAGTAAAATAAAAAAAAATAAGTAGGTACCTAACTAGTAAAAAAATAACATAAAAAGTGAATTATGAGCAAACATAATTTACCTATATTTTATAATTTTATAAATATACTTCACAAACAAAATGTTAACAGTGTAATCATATTTTCTAAGAGCACTTCTATTATCAATGAAATTGATTTTTTTTTGTTATAGCCTTATTTCTATGCTTAGGTTATTATTTATTTATAAATATATACCTAGTATATAATATTTTTAATTCTTCATTGTACAATTTGTTTATTTATTGTAACTAATTAATGTGTTATATAATTGTTATTTATACGTATTAAAATGATACTTAGGTTTTTTGCCCTGTTTTGGTGAGTCCAGTATCCAAAACTATAAAATGTCTGTGGCAATGTGAATCATTAATCAATTATTTGTCAAAATATGTTATTATTATCAGTATTGTCAGCTTTATACTATCTGTCCTAGTTACTTGGAATCTGTCAGAACTATACATTTTTAAATAGATTTGTTACTTCAATATTATGACATTATGCAACATATTATTTGCAAGTCATTTATGACAATTTTGTGTGAAGTTAAGTTGTACTAAAATATAAATTATGATGAGTATTTAATTTTTAAATACAAGCAAATTTGTATAAATTATCTACAAATATTATATTCAATTAATCAAAAAATGAAACTATTTAATTAATACTATGCATTCACATAATGAACATTTGAGTACTAAAACAAATCATGCTAAAACTATATAGTTATTTATAATTATTAATTAGATAGTTCAATAATATTACATACAGACACAAAATAATAAATTGAGTAAACGTATTATGTTATTTTATCACCTCTATCATCATCTATTGTGTTTATTACTTTATCCTGTCTCCATCATACAAGTGCTTAACATAGCAAATTTAGGCTCAGAAGATCATGTTTAGCTCTGTTAGTTTAAAAATTTGAGTGATTCAGACTATAGATGAAACTTGATGGTAAGAATATTATCTGAGTTATTATGTTAGTTTTATTTATGATAGTTTAATATTTAAAAAGTTATCTGTTAATAATGTAGCGTAAATTAAAAATGCTCAAAACTCTCTTAAAAACTGAGTATAATCGTAAAAAAAAACACTTACAGACACAGATAATGTCCTTACCATCAAGTTTCATAAGAGGTCGACTCACTCTAATTTATGTCCTCTTAATAATTAATTTTATTGAAAATACATTTTTTTTTTTGTGAAATTTTCTATTCTGTATTTAAGAAGAAAGCAGTAATCAAAGGGTTTATTATATTATTAACTTGGAATTGTGGTTTTTTGTAAAAAAGAAAAAATTTGTACTTTTTAGTAGGATGTCAAAGGGTTTTATACTAATATACATTTTTATTTGTATTTATTTATTGCACATATTACCCACATTGATCAAGCTGTCATTATAGATTGTAGTATATAAACATCTTTCTATGTCCCGTTAATTCAATTTACATAGTTTAAAAAGGCACCTTTTTCTGCCCATTATTTCACTTTGGTAGGTATACATTCTCCATGAACAAAACAATTTAAAAAAACATTATTAAGAGACGGTTTTAATTTTAAATTAAATTGTAAATGTTTTCTTGAAGTATTTCTTTAAAAACAAAAAAAAACTCAATTTACAACTCAAAATAGAGGTTTCCATTAAAAAATTATGAGTTTATAATACCTAGTATTATACTTTTATAGTAAATAGAAAAATTATTTGGAACATTTTTTAGCATTTTTGGTAACTAAAAATATTGAAGTCATACAGGTTTCAAACGCCATTGAAATGTGTGTATTATTTCACTAATTTTTATCTCATATTTATGAAAAAAATTAATCATTTATATTTTATAAAAAATTATGAACTACCTACCTACCTATAAAAAATGTATATAAATTATCAAATATATTTTTTGTATTGCAATAAGTAATAATAATGAGTCATTAGTTATGGAATATTTTACCGTAAAATAATTTCATATCAGCATTGAATGAAAAATGTCAATTAAACACTAATTTTAATGCCTATACCTTTACAAATAACTTTAATTTATTATTATAAAACTTTTTTTCAGGCTCAATTGTTATGAAGGACTGCGGTAAATTATTAGTATACTTTACATAGGATTACACCATCATCATATAATCATTTTATAACAATGGAGGGTTCATATCAGCCTTCATTTGATTACCAGCAAAACCAAGCAATGACTTATACTCAAAGTCTCTATACTAATAATGGATATGATATGCAGCAAGTAAAAAACATCGATACAAGCAATTACTATAACAGCACTCAAGTAACTACTTCATATCCTTATAGCAATGTTAATGGACATTTCAATATGGGATACAATGTGATGCCTACAAATGTGCCGTATGTTAATGGATCTCTGATTCCACCAACAAGCTCTTAACTACAAATTATAGCAATGGTAATTATGTGCCTCCAACATTGTACTCATATAGTAATATTCCTCAACCTCAACAACCACAAATAACTGGATATTTCAATAACGAATCATTACCCGGGGTAACAAAAAAAACATTTACTAATGAATATATACAATCTTCATCAAATAGTTTAAACTATAATGATAAATATACACCTAACATGCCCTTACAAGTTAACCAACCAGACATTTATAAATCAGCAGTAAATAAAGAACAATATCCAACTAACCAAGCATGTAATGATGAAAAAGAATCAAAAAAAAAAGATGAATGGTTTGATTTAACATCTAAGTTTTTGAATAATGGTGTAAAAAATACTAGTAGAAAACATTCATCAACATCAAACCATACTCAAAGTGGATCAAAACGTTCTCACCATGCTACATCTCCAAAATCTCGTAAAAATAGAAATAATAGAAGTAAGAAAATAAATGAAGAAATGTCTAGTGAAATGTCTGAAATGAAAAAATTATCTAATATGTCTATTCAACAAATAATTGACTATGAAAAAAAAAAGTGGAGCAGATCAGCACCATCAGATGTATATTATAAGAAACCTCATGATGGTTCAGAAGTTACATTTGGAAATAAAACCGCACTAGATATATGTGATGAATTTGAAAACACCCTAGGAAAACGTGTTTCTAAATTGAATGAAAATAAACCAGTTCTTTGTAAATCTCGTAAGGTTAATGTTAGTGTTCGTAAACATGTATGTTCAGGTAATGGTTCTAGTACATCTGATGAGGATGAAGACATCGAAAAAGAAAATGCCACACTTAAAGAGCTGGATAGAAAATGTTCACATCCAGACAGACTTCACTCGGAATTATGGTATAATGAGTTTGGAGAAATGAATGATGGTCCAATGTGTAAATGTAGTGTTAAATCACAGAGATCTGGTATACGTCATAATATATATGTTGGAGAAGGTCCTTTTGAACCTTGTTTACCAAATTCAAATAATAGTCACAAGTTATTTCATTATAGAATTACTATAACTCCACCAACAAATTTTTTACTGAAGTGTCCTACAGTTATTGAATGTAACGAAAATAAATATACTTTTGAAGGTTTCTCATTACTATCACACTATCCTATTCCAATTTTACCTACATGTAAAGTTATTCGTTTCAACACTAATTATGCAATATTATACGTTGAAGAAAAGATTCCCGATAACTTTATAGTAAAGGAGCTGCAATTATTTTATGATTATTTGTTTAAAGACATTTTGGAATTGGTTGATTTAGACTTGCATGGTGTAGGTAATAAAAATGGATGTCCTCAATTTCATTTCATGCCTCGCTTTGTAAAAGATTTGTCTGATAACGGCAAAGAAGTTCTTTCTATGAATGAAGTTCTCAAATATCTTTTAAAGAGCAACAAATTACTTTTTGAAGAGAGCTCTTTGTCTGATTTAAAAAATATGCCTATGAATGAATGGCAAAATATAGTAGATGAATATAAAGGCATGATAGTTACAAACCCTGGAACTAAACCATATTCAATACGTGTTGATCAGCTAGATAGAGATACTGTAAATGAAACTACTGAAAAAAAGGTAAACAATGGCTATCCAGTTTTGGTACATTTTGGTATTCGACCACCTCAACTTAGTTATGCTGGTAATCCAGATTATCAAAAGGGCTGGCGTGATTATGTAAAATTTAGACATCTTCTAGCAAATATGCCCAAACCATCATTTGAAGATAAAAGAAAACTGGAAATCAAAGAAAGAGCTTTACAAGAAATGAGATCCCATAATAAAATGAAACGCGGAGTGACTGCTGCAGTTTCTAGTAAAGGATTTTTTAAAACTGGACTCATGTGTGATATTGTTCAGCATGCCATGCTTTTACCAGTACTTGTGTGCCATTTTAGATTCCACAAATCTTTAGAATACCTAGAAGATACTATAGAATATAAATTTAAGAACAAATATTTACTTCAACTTGCATTAACTCATCCTTCATATAGAGAAAATTTTGGTACTAATCCTGATCATGCAAGAAATACTCTTACCAATTGTGGTATAAGACAACCAGAATATGGAGATAGACGCATTCATTATATGAACACAAGAAAAAGGGGTATAAATACATTAATTAATATAATGTCACGGTTTGGTAAGAAATCAGAAATGGAATCAAATATAATGCACAATGAGCGTTTAGAATTTTTGGGAGATGCTGTTGTTGAATTTGTATCTTCTATTCATTTATTTAATATGTTTCCAGATATTGAAGAAGGAGGATTAGCCACATTTCGAGCGGCTATTGTTCAAAATCAACATCTTGCTGTTTTGGCAAAGACTTTAAAGCTAGATGATTTTATGCTATATGCTCATGGCTCAGATTTATGTCATGATTCTGAGCTCAAGCATGCAATGGCTAATTGTTTTGAAGCTTTGATGGGTGCATTGTTTTTAGATGGAGGTATTGATGTGGCTGATCGTGTGTTTGGCAAAACATTTTATAGGGATTCACCAGAATATCTCGATATTTGGGTAAACTACCCCAGACATCCTTTACAACAACAAGAACCTGAAGGCGATCGTAAATGGATTAAAAAATTACCATTACTTCAAAAACTTACTAACTTTGAAGACTCTATAGGAATAAAATTTACCCATATAAGATTATTAGCCAGAGCGTTTACTGACAGAAGTGTGGGTTTCACAAATTTAACACTTGGTTCAAATCAACGACTTGAGTTTTTGGGAGATACTGTTCTGCAATTAATAGCTTCAGACTATTTGTACAAATTTTTTCCAGAACATCATGAAGGTCACCTATCTCTCCTTCGTAGTTCTTTGGTAAACAATCGAACTCAATCTGTAGTATGTGACGATTTAGGTATGGTTAGTTATGCACTTTATGCAAATCCAAAAGCCGAATTAAAAACAAAAGATAGAGCTGATTTGTTAGAAGCATTTCTTGGAGCTTTATATATTGACAAAGGACTAACATTCTGCCAAGCATTTTGTAATGTATGTTTCTTTCCTCGTCTACATGATTTCATTCTGAAACAAGACTGGAATGACCCAAAATCTAAACTACAACAATGTTGTTTAACATTACGATCAGTAGACGGCGGTGAACCAGATATACCAGTATATAAAGTGATAGAATGTATGGGACCAACTAATGGTCGAAAATATACAGTAGCTGTCTACTTTAAAAGTGTGAGGTTGTCACAGGCGACTGGCCATAGTATACAACGAGCTGAAATGAATGCTGCCAATAGTGCGTTGGAAGTATCTAAAGATCTTTTTCCACAATTGGATCACCAAAGACGTGCTATATCAAGAAGCTTACGTCATCAGTGTTCAGATGGTCAAGCAAACATTGATGACATAATTAAGTTATTGGAATCTAATTCAACCAAAAATGAATCGAACATGAGTGATTTGGATTTGGCTAAAAGAAAACTCCATAGAAAACTATTAGCGGTATTGTGTGCTAATAAAAATTCTATAGATAATTATCCAGAACCAGCTAAAAAAAAGAAAAAGAAATAAGACAATTAGGTATTATTTTTATCAAATATTTTTTATGCCTAAACGTGAAGGGGTGATTATTTCTCAAATTAATTTAAATCGATAATAAAACTTTACTGTATTGGCAAGTGAATTATTAAAGGCTGTACATTTATTTTATACTAATATAATTAACTTTATGTTAGTATTTAGTGTAACAGAATTATCTTTTTTAAATTTTATTCAATTGTTGAATACGTTTAGCTTTATTGTAGTCCAACCGGATTATTTTTGTCAATGAACTTCATTCATTTTACGAGAATAGTTTATCATTAAATGAATGAACTAGTTATTATGATAATAGGTGCAAGTTTTTAAATGTGCCTTCTGTACTGATAATAGACTGAATTAAAATTATTACCACAGTGCTAATAGTAAAAATAATTTAGTTAAGGAATATAATGCAATTTTCACAATCTACATTATTAAATAAATATAATGTTTGATATTTATGATTTTATTTAATAAGTGCATCAAGGGTAAATAATAGTTTTTTTTTAATTTATAAGTTATAAAAAAATTTATATTTAGAACCATTGAAACAATAAATAATTCAAAACTTTCATAGTTCAACATAATATTAATACAGTAATATCATTCAAATTAATACAAGTTGTGGATTATAGTGTTTTTAAGTATGATCTATATGGCTAATGGAAAATAATATTGCACTTTGTATTTGTGTAATTTTTACTTTGTTTCCTATATACTATTATTATGATTATTATTTTTCTAGCCTTGGTTTTATTTTATATTTTATATGATTGTACGACTGAAATAATATTTGAATATTTTTGTGTTAATACTTTTTTTTATGTATTCAATATAATAATAATTTATTTTATTAATATTAATATTTAACCGTTTACATTTTTCTTTATTATTCACTGTAGGTATATAAAAAAACAAATTGAAAATATGTACCAATGTAATGGTTTTTTCTTGTTTTGTTACCTACCTTTAATAATAATATAAAATGTATATATATATATTATATAAATAAGTGTTATTTTGTAAAAACTAAAAAAAATTTAACTTATGTCCATGTATTTTGAAATTATTATTATTATTCCACTAGACTTATAAATAAAACAATTTACTTCATGCCATAATGTTCACCATATTTATTTTGTATTTTTTCATAATCATGTTATAAATTATAATGCCTTATACCATGTATCCTCAAACACCACCAGTACTATGTAATATTTATTATATTATATATTTTGTTTAAAAGGTAAAAAAATAAAATATTGTATTTGTACAACTCAAAATATACAATACAATAGTTTTTGGAAATTTTTATTTTGTGGAGCTGCTGGATGTGAGGATTTTTCACATTCCTCTTTATATGAGTTTAGTCTTTGCAGTTTGCACTTTTTAATGATTGATGAGTTAATATTTGAAATACATGCCAGTAACTTTTGTTTAGTTGCTCTGATTTATTATTGATTGGTTCATTAAATCAATCATAAATATTGACTAAACTATTTTTTTTAAATGGAATAAAAAAAAACTTTATAATGATACAAAATATTATTTACAAATTAATAAAATAAAATACTCTTGGGACTGGGATATTTTTTAAATGAATGACCATCTTAAAATAATATATATATTATATATGATAGACTAATAATTATGTACAATTTTAGCTTTAGTAGTTTGGTTATTCTATTAGGCTATAGGTGTTGGTAAAATGTAATGGATATGTTTCATGTGATCTTTGTTTTCAAATCTTACTCATAATATTTGTGTAGGAAAATGTATAATTATTATTTTCTTAACAAAAATATAGTAGGTAAATGCTTGAAAAAAAAATATCAATAGATATTTCTTGTAAAACAATATATTACGTTTAAAATTTTGGTTAGTGATTTTAATTGCAACTTTTTATAAACTGTTATTAAAATGCATAGTAATATACAAACTTTTTTTAAAACAAAAAAAAAATGTAGGAAAACAGGAATTGTTAACAAAATAACATAATTGTTCGACAAAATCGATTTTGTTTTTTTGGTGTAACCCTAAAACAATTAATAACCTTAGATATTTCACAGAACGTTTATATTACCATTTTCTTTACACCATACAATTTTCAAAATATTTTAACTCGTTTTGAGTTTTGACGGACATTATAAATTTTAAATTTTTTTTAGTTTTTTTTCTATTAATGTCAATAGAAATGCTGTTTGTTGAGTCAAAAAGTGTAAATTTAATACAAAGCACCTGATATATTGTTAAATAGCAGTGTTTAAATATTAAAAATATTTTTATAAGCATTTAAAGTTCGATTTTTGACAACATTTATCAACTTCAATTTCGTTACACTAATGACAATACCACGTATCTACATTTTACCAATTGTTCAGGAGAGTGAAAAAACTGAATAAATACACAGATACAGATACAATTTGGATACGTGTTATCAATTAAATCCAATTTGGAGGGAAAATAATTTTTTTTTAGGTTATTGTATCAGAAAATAATTTTGTGCGCAAGGAGATTACAAATATTTTGATACCAAAAACTCATTTTGTGTAAAATGTCAGATACGTGGTATTGTCATTAGTGTAACGATTTGTAGACTGTAGTTGAATATTTATAAAATGTTCAGCTTTTGTAGCAAAGGATGGACAATTTAAAACCAGATTCCACCTAAGTAGGTTATTCCGTAACCAAAAAATCTCAAGTTATTTTTTTTTAAATTAGGATAAAATTACATATTACATAACCAAAAATAACGATTTTAGTTATTTTTTTTGTAATTAAAAAATATTACTTGAGGGTAGGTACTTCAGGTACTTGACATTTCTTATCAATATTATTACAGTTCAAAAATCTAGTTGACCAGAAAAGATCGAAAGCAAAAAAAAAAGAAAGAAGATAATATCTATTATGTTAAATTTGCACCTATTTGATAAAAATTCATATCTTCGTTTTACGATAAACATTAGTATGTTATACATCGTTTTCAATAATTTTATAATTAATATAATAAAATAAAATATAGCAAAATCCTAACACTTTTTAAGAGTAATTTGAAATGTAGCACGGGCCAGTTAAAAATGGTACGCGGCCCGCCAGTTTTCCATACCTGCCCCATAAGACATTAGGTTATACTGTCGACTCTCGATAATTCGAAGTTTTTGAGACTTATGAATAGGGCTAGGAAAATGAAGCACTAAAATATAAAAACCTACAATAAAGGAATTAAAAAATTGCCAATAATGCTACAAAAAAAAGCATTTAACCAGGAAAATGCAACTAAAAAAGACTTAAACATTTTTAAGTTTAGCTGAAAAATATTTTTAACAACTAAGTACAATTTATAAATATTGAAAAAAAAAATTAAAAACTGTTTTATTATATTTTAGGTACCTGTTTATTATATAAATATTAAAAAAGACTATAAGATATTTTAAATTTCTTTGATATTTTGTAATATTTTGAAAACAATTTTTCCGATAAGGCGATAATATTTCACTATGAATTCACAAAATATATGTATATAATTATACAATTAAAATAATAATTTAGATAAATATGTACATACATGTTAAAAAATATGCGTATAATTAACAAAAACCAATTAAAAAGCTAATAAACTGACAAAAAAGTACCAATAAAGCATTTATATACGAATATCACAAGAAAAAGCAAAAAAAGCAAAAACAAAATTGCATATTTGAACTCTGTGATGAATGAATCGAATTTTGTTTTTGATTAGCTATGTCCTGGAGTACCTACTATGAAAGAAAATGCAAATGCTACAAAATCCTAGTCCTACTTATGAAACATTTCAAATTACAGAGAGCTCGAATTGGTTATCGAGAGAATAGGTATCAAGACAACATGAAAACATTGGGATTTAGAATTACTGAATTATGAAAAAATGTCGTTAAAATAATTCGATAGTTATCGTATAGGTATAATAAGCTAAATTTATACACAATTGCAAGGTAAATTATTATCGATAAGATTATAAGAAAATAGAAATACGTTTTGGTGAATATACTTAGAATTGCCGAGCGTTAAACTTTGAACTGTCGTGTGTTTACAGCAGCTGTTTTCCCTACAATTTTACTACAAATTACCAAGTGTAGGTACCTAAATAGTTAAATGCATGGTTTTTATTCAAATTAGGTACTGAGAGATTTTTAAGGGAACGACTAATTCTAATTTCTAATTACCAAAAGTTTTTGTAAAACACTGTAACACACGTCAATATTGGTTCAGCAGTTTCGAATAGATTACCTGGAAAAAAAGACAGACACTTCAATTTTATTTATTTTTACAGATTACCTACATATTATATTAATATCTCCATTCTAAATACAGTCTGAATACAGATAGGTAAGTATAATTCTTAGATCTAAATATCTAATGCATAAAATTACTATAAATGTATAATTACATAAAATCTATAATTATTGTTAATACTAAGAATGACATGTATACCTTTAAGATTAACTTTAAGGTAGGTAACTTAAGATTTGACTCCATGGCTCCGTGATGTTTTTTTTTTTTTGTAGAAAGTAAATATTTAATAAAAAAATGGCTTAATTATAATTCAGTAGGTACCGAAGGTACCAGAATACCTACTGAGTAAAAAAAAAAATTATAATGTTTACCTATTACTTATTACGTATATTTATTTATTTTTATAATTATTAAGACAATTTTTAAATAAATGCCTATTTACTTCCTAGAAACATAAAAGAATCTAGAAAAAAAATTACAATGAAAAAAACGTCAAATGTATATAATTTATTATGTATTTTACATAAAAATCACAAATATCAATTTTAGGCAATCATTAAAATATCAAAATTTAAATAATATAATATAATATAGGTACCCTGTTTAAAAAAAACAACATACCGCTTTTGCGCATAACGACTAAGGCTTGGATTAATGTGCTCTAAAAATATAAAAAAAATACATTATTTTATGACCTAAAAACTCGAAAATAGGCTCTAAAAATAACAAAATTGCTCTTTCAAAAAATGCTTTTAACATATAAAATTGTGTAAGTATGTTTAGAAATATATAAAAAAATTAAATTTTACAAATTGCATTTGTATTACTGCGCTGAACTATAAGTACCTACTGGCTACTACTGCACTAGTGCACTACAACAGTACCTACTACACTACTACACTATATACTCCAATTAAAGTTGTATGCAATTAAATAGGCTAATTTGTTTTTGTGAAATATATAGATTAATTTAAAACCAGATAACCTATAGTGTTATATACCTAGTTCGAAATAAAAATGATTTATATTATGTACTAAGGTACCAGTACCAGTACCTCTTGGTAGGTGGCACAGTGGCGTAGCCAGAATTTTTTTTCGGAGGGGCTAATCAACTTTTACCGAACTTTTTGAGCGACTATCATAGACCATTAAAATAATTTTTTAATTTTCTTAACATTTCTGGGGGGTGGGTGGGTGGGGGGGGGCTGCAAACTTTAATAGTAAGCTATGAAGGTCGATGTGTTGTATTGAGATGTGTGCTTAGATCATATTATACAATTGTATATGATCTAAGGATGTGTGTGTGTGAATATGTTGTTATCATTCCATTGATATTTGATAATAATGTTGATACTGTATTCTGTGATACTGGTTTAGTTTTGTTTTGAATTCCACACTTACACGTGTTATTTTAATGTTTTAATGTCAATTCCTTAATCCTTATTGTTTTTATTCGATATTCATAAAAACAGTTTTCCTCGTATTATAATACAATGGGTAACAGGAGACATGCCGGTTCAAATGCAAGCTTTGCGAAAAGGAGACGAAAAATGAAAGAAGGAGTAAATTTTTATTTTTAATATAAAATGTATATTTCTATGAATTCTATGTGATCAAGATAATCTGATAATACAATATAAAAATTCATTTTTTTCAATAAATTATTCTCTCGTTTTTCTTTACCAAATCTTATACTTAGTTTTGTGTTAATATATTTGATTTCAGTTAGATACTAAAAATCCCAATGAAGATAATCGTAGTTCTTACGAAACAACAATACGAGACAATGAAAAATTCGTACAGTATTATAAGGTATCAATAATACATTTTTTTAAGAGAACTAGTACCTAGGTACTCATATATGTTTTATTGTATTATATTTATATTATAATAAATATTATTAAATTTATTTAAGATGCAAAATATTTGTTCAGAAGATGAATGGAACACATTTTTAGAAGTATTAAAAACTGATTTACCTACTTCATTTCGCATTACTGCTAGCTGTGACGTAGAAGCAAAAATACTGTTGAAATTAGTTGAAGGAGTCTTTTTTACAGATTTGCTCAAAGGAGAGCTAAATGATGAACAAAAAAATAGTAAACCTTTTTGTTTACCATGGTTTGTTTAATTAAATTTCACAAAAATATAAATTCGGTGTAACATTTATCTTTAGTTATAACTAGGACGCGGATTTGTATGCATTTGCATATTTATTCTTGTTGGTTGTACAATATTACAAGTGATCACAGAATTTGTTTCATGATAACAATTTAAACTATTACATTTTTATGGTGCAAATTTCAACAATTACTCATTTTTTTGATTTTTAGCTCTTATTATACGATTTTAGCTGTATTTTTCATATTTTAGTACATGTTAATTATTATTGCAAAAATTAGATTTTGATAGTTTCGATTAATATTAAAATAAATTAATATGTAGGTTAGATATACTTGTAGGTATAAACGGTTTTCTCAAATATATTTTTTCTTAACCCTAGAGTGCACGCTTCACGGTCAAAAAGACCGGACTTTTAGAATTTTGTTCATTGTTTCAAAATTACGAAATATTAACCAAATCCAACCTAGGTACCTTCAAATTAGGTGATAAACTAAAATCAAATACAACTCCTAACTGCATATTATCTGTCAAAAAAATATTTAATACAAAATTGATATTTATTATATTTTCATTGTGACTGGTTAGTTGACTATGATTTGTGCCATACTGTGTGTGACTAAAAAGACCGTGTGACTCGTGAATATTTTAAATGCGTGTGATCCAGGTTAAAACTACCTACAAAACTCGTATATTTTAAAGAAAAGTATTTTTAGTAGAGGTCCATAATTTTAAATTTATTATTTTAATTAGACATTCTGAAAATAAAAGTCATTAATGTTAATTTTTTGAACATTTTAGTGCATATTTAAGATTTTTATTGCATATTTGGTTGGTTTATAATGTATACAAATCCACGCTATATTTATAACTAATAAGTGTTAATAACCCTGTACCAATAATACACTGAACATAATATGTCTAATAAAATGAATTCAGGTATCCACAACGATTGGGATGGCAATTGAAAATCACTCGTAAAGATATTCGTGGTTCAGAAGCATACTATCGCTTACATAATTTTCTAATTTCTGAAACTGGAAATGGTAATATTTCTAGACAGGAAACAGTCAGCATGATTCCACCTTTGCTATTGGATGTACAACCCAGTGATAAGGTTATAATTTTTTTTATCTATAATCATTGCATTGAATATTTACATTTTTGAGGATTAAAGCAATTGAAATTTATTTTAGGTATTAGATATGTGTGCTGCTCCTGGTTCTAAAACTGCACAACTTATTGAAGCTTTGTATTCAGGTTCTACTTCTTCTGTTCCAGGTTAAGATTAATTTAAAAATGTTGACTTTATTTACTAAAATTTTTTTAATTTAGATGGATTAATTATGGCCAATGATGTTCATAATGCAAGGTGTTATATGTTAGTTCATCAAGCTAAAAGATTAAATAGTGCAAATGTTGTTATTACAAATCACGATGCTACAGTTTTACCTGTTATGAATTTGGATGAAAATGGTTGGTTTGTATTTTATAACTTAACAGGTTGTAAAATTTAAAAAATTTAAATTTAATCTTATTAGTATAATTGTATAAGTTATATTCGGTTTATTCAAAGTTTGATAGAGATTTAATTTTGATCTACTTTGATTATTATTCATTATTAGTTATTAGTTATTACCTATGAAACATAATTTACATATTAAGAAAACAATTTAATTTTAATCACCATGAAAAATAAAAAAAATTGAATTACAATGATATATTTGCTATGATATACAGATAATTTTTTTTTAGGAGATACTATGCTTAAGTTTGATAAAATATTATGTGATGCACCATGTTCTGGCGATGGTACATTAAGAAAGAATGCAGATATTTGGACTAAGTGGAGTCCCGGAAATGCAAACAACTTGCATGGGTTAGTTTTATTTTGTTTGAAATCACAAAAAAAAGAATTTATTTGATAAATATGTATTTAATTTTATTAGAATACAGTTTCGTATACTTAAGCGTGGATTAGAACTGTTAAATGTTGGAGGGCGTTTAGTTTATTCAACTTGTTCATTTAATCCAGTTGAAAATGAAGCAGTGGTTCAGCGAATGATGACTGAAGCTCAAGGTATTTTTACTTAATATTTTTATTATTTAGTATAAAATAGATTTTACATTTTATTGTAATTTTTTGTTGCATTACATTTATAGTCTAGACTAATATATATTTAATTTTAAATTGTCCATTACTTTCTCTAAATATTGCAAAACTGTTTATGATATAATCTTATTATAAGGTTTTTTTTAATATTTCGATATTAATGATTCCTTTTGTATTTAATGTGACAATATAGATATTTCAAACTTACACTAGTAGTTACACCAAACTAAAATAATCAACATATATATTTTTCAATTATTTTATGTGTTTTAAATAAGATTTTATTTCATATAACATCTTGGTAAAACATTAAAAATGAAACTGTTAATAATTGATCTATTATCAACAATACATCAAAAGTACATCGTTATACCGTCGTGCCTCTCTCAGTTTACCTGTAGCTTTAATTTTTAATCAATCACTATTAGAGGGGGTTTTCCCCTCCGTGTGGAAAATTAGTTGAGTTACTCCTATTTTGAAGTCTGGGAATCTTGCTGATGTTGGCAACTACCGACCAATCTCTGGCTTACCTCTCCTAGGTAAGTTATTTGAGTATATAGTACTCAAACAAATCGAACGTCCTCTCTTAACCACCATTTCTATTGACCAACACAGATTCTTCTCAGGGCGCTTAACAGCGACCAGTCTTATTAACTCTGTCTCTTACCTTCACACGGCTTTTGATTTGGGTAATCAGGTCGATGTGATATATATATAAACTTTTCCAAGGCGTTTGACTCCCTAGACCACAATGCACTTTTTTTTATCCTTGACAGGCTTGGTGTTTTTGAACCACTCTTATCGTGGTTTGGTTCTTACCTTAGTGAGCGTCGATAATTTGTTAGTCTCTTCGGCAAGCTTTCCCATTTTTTCTGAGCGTCATCCGGAGGTCCCCTATTATTTAATATTTTCATCAATACCATGTACTCAGCTATTTCCCTTTGTCGTCTTCTACTTTTTGCTGATGATTCTAACATTTTTCAGAGGATAACCACTAATAATGATTGTCTCACTCTTCAAAACACCCTAGATAAATTTACCAATTGGTGCAGTACTTTTAATTTATCTCTCAACATCTCTAAATGCAAAGTTATGTCTTTTCATCGTTCTAAGTCAGTGATTTCTTTTGACTATAGGCTAGGAGGTATATCTATTCAACGTGTCAGCCAGGTACATGATCTAAGCATTTTATTTGTACCATCTCTTAATTTCAGTCCTCATATTTATCTTTTGGCTAGTAAAACCTTTCGTGTTTTAGGATTTGTCAGACGTCACCCAGTCAACTTTAGTTCTGCTAACTGCCTTTTGGCTCTCTATAAAGCATTAGTCCGTTTGGTTATTGAATATGGGTCTGTTGTTTGGTCACCGTATACCGCCGTTGACATTTGTCGAATTGATCGTGTTCAAAACTGTTTTTATGCAATTCGCCGGTTATTGCCTCAACATCCCTCATGCACCACATGATTACAGGCCTGTTAGTCAAGCTCTTAGACTCGATTAACTTTTGGCAGGCATGATAATTTTGGTATTACTTTTATTCAGCGTTTGATCGAAGGTCGAGTTGATGCCCCAAGGATTCTTGGAGAACTGAGTTTTTGTATTCCTAGTAATACTAGGCTTCAAAGTACTCTCTTTACGTCTACCAATAAATCTAACTTCTCCAGGAATGCCCCACTTTCAAGAATCATGCACAATTTAAATAACTCTTTTGAGTATTAAACTTTATTTAGCGGCTCTAATATGAACTACGGAGGCTCACTTTATTTTTTTATTTTTTTTCAGAATTTTTCAATTAAGTCTCAAGTTAAATTAGTATAAGTTTATTTCACAAGTTGTTAACTGTTTTAAATATTTTGCCATAGTACTTTTTTATGCTGTATTTTAAAAAGCCGTTTGGCGTTATTATAATAATAATTATTATTATCTAAATATTGCGTAACAGTTTAACAAAACTTTATACAAAATTATTTTATGTTGTTATTTTGAAATAGGTAGTGTTGTTATTATAAGCGCTCATGATAAACTCCCAGGCTTAAAAATAGTTAATGGTCTTTCTAAGTGGATAGTTGTATCAAAGGATTTGGATGTATATAAAACTTTTGAAGAAGTTCCAGAAAAATGGAACACCCAAATTAGGCCACAAATGTTTCCTCCTAAGGAAGATATATATAATCTGGATAAATGGTAAACTAAATAAAATTGATTTCTGTTTATATAATACATTTACAAAAATTATTAATTGTATGTTTGTTACTTATTTTCAGTATTCGTATACTACCTCATCATCAAGATACTGGAGGGTTTTTCGTAACTCTTATGGAAAAAATTAAACCATTGCCATGGGAAACATGTATAAAACAAACTGATGAAGTTGTTGATGAAGTAAAAGTCAATAACTATAAGAGAAAACCAAAAAAAAGGAGATACCAAGGATATAAAGAAGATCCGTTTATATTTTTAACTGTTGATGATCCTGTTTGGCCAGAAATTAGGTAATTAAATTAATATTTTTTTTTTACACTCGTATATTTAAATCGAATGAGACTACTGGGAAGAAAACTTTTTTCAATGTCTTATTTATTATATAATTAAAACAAAAGTTCTGATTAAAAAAATTGTAATTCTGCTTATAAAAATATATATTTACTAGCACTAAATATTTAAACACATTGTGTTTATAGTTCTTTTGTGTAGATGTTTGAATTTTTTAAAGATAACTCATTCTGAATTTACCTATTTTTGTTTAAATTTAAAACTCAAAGAAAACAGTATCAACGTTTTTGAAGTGCTGTTTAGAACTATAAAAACCTTAGATGGGATTTTAATTGTAAAGTTGCAAGGAGTATTTTGTATACATTTTAGGCAACCTTTTCTTAAATACCCTCATTTAACTCTACATTTATTTATTTAATTATAATTTTTTTTAACAGAGATTTTTACGAACTCAATAATTTCCCCATTGAATGTTTACTTACAAGATGTTCTGTGGGTAAAAAAAAAAATATCTACTATACGTCGACATCTGTAAAAGATATTGTAAAGAATAATCAAGACCGTGTAAAGGTAAGCAATTTTATTATTTTATTATCTATTTAGTTAAAAAAAACCTGAACGTGTCGCATGACACGCGTACAGAACGAAGTCCCTTTTGTATGCAGGTTTGGCATAATTAATCATTAACGTGCCAGGCTCTCAATCTCTCTACCCACTCCTCCATTTAATTTTGATTATTTATGTAATAAATAAATATATTTGCAATATATCTATTTATTTATTTGCTTTTAAAACATTGTGTTAAACATTAAACATTCAAGAAATTTTGAATTACATATTTTTACATAATATTACATTATATTATAAAATATAGAGCCGTACATTATCACATTATCTATATTTTGAATTATACTATGTACCGAGTATTAATCGTAAATATTTGTTATGATGATACGGTTTTATTTAATATTTTTCAATAATAAAAGACATTATTTTTAATTATATATAATAGCATTATTTAATATTTGCTTTATTTGATTTATTCAATTTTTTTCAATTTAGAACCCTGGGAATAATGCTTTAAAATCTATAAAACAAAAATATATAAAAAAAATTTTTTGTATAACTTCTTTTTCCAAGTTTATATTCATATAAATACATACTAGATAAAAAAAAATTGCATATTATACTGTATATTATTTGAGCTTTGTATTATGTATACGTATGCACATATTTCATTGTTTTTTTAAACATTAAGTTCGAAGCCCTGATAATATACTAATATAGCAATATCTAAACCTGAAAAATTTTTTGCTGCTGCAATGTTTATATGTTTTTTAATATTCAGTCTTACCTAATATTGTGATCACACTGTATGTATGTGAATTTATTATTGTATGGGAGTACAATTATATTTTTATTTTGTAGATTATCAATACTGGTGTTAAAACGTTCGTCCGCTGTGATAATAAATCAATGGAATGTAACTTTAGGCTTGCTCAAGAGGTAATTAATACAATTTTATACTTTCTTTTTTACTTAATTTGATTGTTTAACTTAATTATTTTATTTATACCCGGTAATTTGTGTTAAAATGTTTCTATATATAAGTAGATTAATTTTATTTATTATTCGAATACCGTAATTTTAAGGGTTTGGCTGGAATATCTTCCTTTATTGGACAAAAAAGGCGATTACAATTAACACGTACGGAGTTGATAACTGTGCTGAAAAATCCAACAATTCAAGTTACTTCTTTAGACCAGGCCACAAAAGATATACTAGACAATTTTGGTAATAAATTATTGAACGATTATTCTATTGCTAGTTGTATTTTACTTTATTTAATGATAACACTATTTTTAAATAGGTGTTGGTAGTTGTATTCTGAACATGGTGGACAAAGATTTTCCAATTGAGCTAGTTGGCTGGAAAGGATTTTCAACTCTCAAAGCTTATGTAAATGGTGAATGTAGATTACACTATTTGAGATTACTTGGAGTTGATGTCTCAGAATTTGGTAATACTTATTACTTAATAAATTATCTTAATACACTTTGTGAATGACATAAAATGTAATTAGAGATTAATAATATTTCTCATTTGCATGGATGTTGATTATCATTATTGTAACAAGGGCTACATAATTGGTATTAATATATAATTGAGGTTAATAAATTTTCATTTTATAACCTTAAGTATTAAAATATAATCATTGGGGCTATACTCTAATATTAATAATATTAAGGTTAGTTTTAGTAGTCATATTAAAGGAATAACATTATTAATTGAGACAGATATTAAATGGTATTATATTGTTATATTGTGACTAAAATATATTTCCGCTAAAATGTTATGAAAGCAACCTATTAAATAATATTAGTAATTATTAAACTAAATTATTGTACTATTTTAGACGTGAATAAATTTAAGAAAGAAAATAATGAGGATGGACCAGAAGACAAAAGTGGAATTTGTTTAGGTAAAATTAATTTTGTTATGGTTTTAAATTTAATTGATTTAATTTTTGTATATTAAATAAAGGCCTTGAGTGTTTAATGATTATACAGCTCTTAAAACAATTATCTGTTTGACTTAAGGCTGTTGAAAGCGGACCATTTTTAAGGTGTTAAATTTAGGTAATATTCTATATCCGTCAGGACTCAGGAGTGCTATGTGACTGTGTAGTGATTGATCATTAATGTGCGTGAGTTCCCAGAACAATTTATGTAATTAAAGATAAACTACGGCTAAGATTCTTGGAAATCCGTAATGTACATACGCTCAGTCACACGTCACTATATTTTACGAACAAAAAAGGTTTCAACTCATGTGGCTATGAAAGTCACAAAAAGTGAAAGAAAACTTCACCCAGTTTCATAAGCCAAATTTTAATTTTGAAATCATATTTGAATTCCTTATTCTCTTTTCTTGCTTTTGTAGTAAATGGATTTTTGATTTGCTGCATTATTTAATTAGTATAGTATCAAATTAATTTCTTTTTTTCAAAATACACTATATAGTAGCGTTAATAAAAAAAAGGTGGGCAAGTGGGTGTCGCTCTGCTGTACAGTAGGTTACAAGTGGGTCACTGTATAATGGATGATATTAAATTTGAATTCAACTATATAATATCATTGTATAAGAAAAACGATTCTGAGCGGAGACAGTATGTCAGTCTAGGTATAAGACAGATTATATACATTATACATATCTATGGTACTAAACCAAAATTTGACCTATTATAGGTAGGTACCTATAATAAATTCCAAAATTAATCATATCAAAATATCCATTAGGTACTTATAACGCGTTATCCATCAACAAAAACCGTGATACTATCATAGATATATAATAGTACACTTTAGAAGTTTCAAGTATCCATGATTAATATTATTCAATCACAACAAAATAACTAAAATAGTTATTCTAGGTTTTTTAATATATAATTTCGTCCAAATTTGAATTTAAAATGTCTGTAAAAAATAACTGTGTTCATATATTTTTTTAGATTTTTTGGTTACAGTATGAACTATTTACGAGAACCTTTGTGTTGAATTTGCAATCCTTAGCTATAAAAACTGAACATTTTATAATTTATTAATTACGATGATTAATCATTTTCGAGATTTTGAAAAATTCTGTCAAAATTCGACATTTAAATGCTTATAAAAAAAAATTGTGCCTATGTATTTTTTATATTTTTTTAATTGATATTGTAACAATATATCAGGAGCCTTGTATTAATTTTTCACACTTTTTGGCCCAACAGATAAAACTTTATTAATATTTAAAGAAAAAAAAAACTAAAAAAATTGAAAACTGAAAATGTCCGTAAACGGTTCAAAAAGAGTCAAAATATTTTCAAAATTGTATGGTGTATAGGAAATGCTAATATAAACATTCCGTGAAATTTTCATGTATCTATAGTAATTCGTTTTTGAATTACAACAAAATAAGGAAATCGCCACATGAGAAATCGAGTGAATATCCAATGTTGTAAAAATTTGAATTTCAAACGCTCATAAAAATTTAATTTGACTGTCCGGTAGAGATTTTTTTATTGATAAAGGTAGACAAACTTATGAGTAATCTTGTATTACATTTTCAAATCTTAGATTTAAAAAGAAAAATTTTTACGAATTCTTAACTCAAAATAATTTGCTAATTTTCGTGATTTTTCCATATTTTGTAAATTTTTGAACTTTAAATGCTTATAAAAAAAAATTGTGACTAAGGATTTTTAATATTTTTCATCTGCCTTTGAAACAACATATTAGGAGCCTTCTATTAAATTTTCAAGCTTTCGCAACCAACAAATAAAATTTTATTGATATTTCTAGAAAAAAAACTAAAAATAAAATGAAAATGAAACTGTCCCTAAACAGATTCAAAATAAATCAAAATATTTTGAAAATGTTATCGTGTATAGAAAATGCAAATATTAACAACCAGTGAAAATTTCATGTATCTACGGTCATTTGTTTTAGAGTTACACCAAAAACCAAATTCGATTTTTTGGAAAATCGATTTTGCGTAAAAATTCCCGTTTTTCCTTAATTTTTATGTTGTTTTTCCCGGCGCTTGTGAAAACTACTGGAAAATGTTTACTTTTGACCCCCCAAAGTACCAACTAGATTCACTTTCCTATCAGAAAAGGTACTATTGAAGAAAATCGAAGCACTTTTACTGTCCCAAAACGTGATGACAGACACAAAAATATAAATAAAAATATAAATAAAAATATAAATAAAAATATAAAAACATACATCATTGTAAAACCAATACATTCATCGCTCCGCTCAGAATCTTAAATATAAAAACATACATCATTGTAAAACCAATACATTCATCGCTCCGCTCAGAATCTAAAATTGATTTCCAACAAAACACAGACAAGGAGCGAATAAATTTCAATATTTTTTCAAAATTAAAATTCTAGAAGTATATATATTTTTTTCCTATTGATATAAATGCACGACGGAACAACCTGCTTTCAACAGCCTTAAACAATAAGTACAACACAGAATTGTAATATTATCAGTATTGGATTGAATTTAATTATTTAATGTTTCAGATGAAGTTCCAGAAGTTCAAATTAAAGAAGAATTTATACAAAGTGAAAAATCAGAATAAATAAAAACAATAATATGTATTTGTCGATATTGTGTTAGGCAAATATATTTTGTTATAACTACAAATTATAATTCAAGCAATAACTTTTATTTTAATAAACATTTTACAAAAATAAATATAGTATGTTTAATTAATTTAATTTCATTATAAACATGAAAAAATAATCATATTATGTTATTAAAATAAATAGTCTTGTTTGCATAAGTACATTGTAAATGCATAACAATTTTATTGTATCATGTAAGGCATAAGAAGACCCTGTACCTGCATGTGTTGTCTCTATCTCACTTACGCATTATATAACAAATTTTACATTACGAAGAATCCATTTTACTCTTCCTATTTTATATATTACAGTGAATTAGTATTATAAAATTTAAAGGTTATTATTTAGAACATTGAAAGATTTTTTTTTGAAGCAACTAATAAACATTTTAAAATTGTGAATTCTTTTGAATATTACACTATCCATGTTATGCTTAAGACAGAGACAACATTATGGGTATAACATACTCTCAACATGAACTGTAGATTTTGGTATCTAGGTACTCATTTTAAATTAAAATTATAAGACTTAAAAATGAACTACTAACAAAATTATACTATAACACAAATAAAGAATAATAAATTATATGAACAAAGCATATGTTTTGCACTCTTAGGTACGTACAGGCAGTATTGCATTGTTGCTGAAACATTGCACACTACGGTAATGAACAACTGGTCGAGTCGGGTTGGCCTAGTCCATGAATTAAGATAATTGTTAGGTATCAACTCTCCATCTCTTTGATGTGCAATTTTGCACGTGAAAGTTTTTTATGTGCAACAGCTCACATGAATATTTTTACAAATGTTTGGTAAAGACTCATCCTTTTTATTGGTTATTTATATACTTAAATTTGTTATCATAAATCTTTACAAACTACAATAATAACATGCATTTGAGTTATAATCAGTACTAGGAAAATAACTATGATTAAAGATCATAAAAATAAATAATTTAAATTTCATTAAACAATTTAATTTGTCATTAAATAATATAATAACAAGTAAAAAAAGTTAAACAAAATAAATCATGGACAATGATTGGATTATTAATCACTAATCAGGAAGCAGGATTATTATTATATTATATTAATATTACCAAATATTTTATTTATTTGAACATCAATATTTATTTTTTGAATTTAGACATTTTAATTTATAAAATATGTTATCTTTATAACTTTGAGCTTTAATGCTCTAAATTGTAGTTTTTTGAGCCAACCCTTGTCCTAATTAACTTTCTTTTAAATCAGAAAATGTACACAGAATTGTTCTCATATTAAAATAACAAATTGAGGCCCACGCAAGCATAACAATTCAATGCACTTAACACATAACTGCCTTAAAATAATAAAAAAATGAACTTTAAACATCTAGTATTTATTAGCTTAATACTTCTAAAGTAGAATATAACATAACGAATATGGCAACTTAAGAAATAACATATTTTTAACTTATTCATAAAAATGTATATAATATATAAACACTGATCAGAAATAATGTGATATAAATAAAGAGTATAATTTTTATAACACAAATATCTGTCATTTTACAAAAGTAGTCAGTCAACATAAAATAATCTTTGGATTTATTTTATTTTATTATTTTAACTAAACTAAATTTCATGTACAGTATCCAATTTTTCACGTTTGCTCCTTGGCACCAAATATTGGTCAATTAAACTTTTAGGAGATACAATACTTTTTTTTCGTTTTTTACTTGAAGTAGGTGTAACTACTTCAGGGATTTGATTAGAAACCACGAGCGTAGAATGTGTAGATGTTGTTTCTAACTTAGGTGATATCTGAGTGGACAATGAAGATGTTGTTTTTGGACAAAAAATTACATTCCATGGTTTTTTAGGAGTCACATTTAAATATTCTACATTTGGAACAAAGTTTTGATTTTGGATATCCCAATTTTCCATGGTTTCTTCTAAAATGTAGAAAAAAAATTAAATATTAATGTTGGTTATAAAGTAACTACAAATAAGAAATGAATTTTCTTTTAAAAATATACAAACCTGTTTCTTTTTTATATTTTTCTTTGAGTTCAGTGTCAAATTTGATAGGAACTGTACACATTTTTACTGAAGATTTTCTTGATTTATACAATGAAGTTGGGCAAATTGAAGATTCTTCAGATATTTTCTGTTCATGGGTAAGTATTGACCACACCATTGGCATTGAATCACCACTTGTTACCAACTTGAAAAATAAATATAGGTAAATTTAACTGAAATAAATCTACAACAATAACATTTAATTTAAATTACAACTATCATACGGTTTTAAAAAAACACCATAAAAATGTATCTTCAATTTCTTCAATACTATAAAAATATCATTCACACTTTATCTTATTAAAATAAATATACCATAATTTTAAATATTAGATAGAAAAGTATGAAAAATATCTTCTGTAGTCAATTTAATATACATTCAAATTGTATACACTTGTATTTAACTGTATGAATTATTTCATTTTGTAATATTTATTCTTCATTATATTTTATATTTATTAATAAATTAAGACACTAAATCCTAACATATAAATGATGAAAAATATAAGATGAATTCAACAGTAAGTGACATTTTGTTTGATAATATTGTTAGTCATACTTATTCAGTATTTATAAGTAATGTATAAAATCTTCATTATTGTCAAAGTTTATTAGACCACATACCAAAAATAAAAATCACACCGGAATAGATAATATTGCTTTAGCCTAAATAATATATTTTTAAGTACCAATGAATAATATATATAAAAGTGAATAACAGAAAGCTCACTTTAGTAATTGTTGAATCTGCACACCAGTCTGAAGTACTCAATTCTATTTTACGAAATTGCTCATCAATTTTGTCTATTTTAAACATTGGATTTTCATTAAATGGAAAATCTGTCAACCATATAATGCCAATATTTTCCATACAACCACTAAATAGATAACGGCCGTCATGACTAATACTAATTTTGGAATATCCAGTTTCATGGAAATGTCCAGAGTATTGACATATTGGCTCTATAAAAAATGATGGTACAAATATAATATAATACTTGGATAATATTTATAATTTAAGAGAATAATGTTAGCACACTAATTGTTTTCTCTCTCTGACCCACCCACAACATAGCAAATTTACATTTAGCAGAACCAACCCTATGTTATTACTTTTAATATTAGAGTGAATTCACTTATTATCAAACTTTAAGTTAAGAACATTACCTGTGACTCTACGTTGGATATTTTATGATGTTTTAATTTTTATGTAAGTTATGAGAGTGTAAATTATTACTATTTAAAAATGCTTATCTTGTATAAAAATGTAAATACTTTAAGAAAGCCAAAGTAGAGATACAGGCAATGTTTTAAGCTTGAAGTTTGATGATAGGTGAATTCACTCTAATACTAAAAGTAACAACACAGGGTTGGTTCAGCCCTACATAAATTTGCTATGTTTCACATGGGTCAGAGAGAAAATAAATGGTACACTGACATCCTCTTAATTAAAAGCGACAAAGAAAAAAAATATAAAAATAATATACTAAGCTATTAAACATAATTAAATTTACAAAGTTTAAAATAAACAAAAATGTATATTACAAATGTCTTCTAATAAAAGCATAAGATATTGTTTAGTGTTTAAAAGAATCATCATTGTTAATTATAATATATTTGAATTTTGAATAATTTGTATGTATGTCAGACAGATAAAATAAACATATTATTATTAGTATTAATAATAATAATCTACAAGCACTAATAATATTAAATTAAATAAAGGATGTAAATAAAATACTTGTTTCTGTAGAATCCAATGAATAACAGTAAATAACATTATTTATACAACTCGCATACATTAAAGTAGATTGAGGATTTGTTATTATATCTACATAACCATTATTTAGAGGTGAAATTTTCATTTCATTAAAATATTTCATGAGTGGTAGAGGTTCTGTATTACCTTTTACTTGGCGGTAACTTTTACGTAAATCCCATAATTTGATATCACTAAAAAAATATATATATAAAAATATTTTGTTAAGTAGATTATGTATTTACCATAGAGATAGATAAAATTACTGGAGTGTGTACACCCTATATCCACAATGTAAAAAAAAAACAAAACAGTCGGACGTTGGCTTACACATTTGACAATTGATGCTATCCTACTATAAAATAAGAACATATTAACCGGCTGACCGTTTTTGGTATCTAGTATGCATTCTAGTATTCTTATATATCTCTATAGTATTTACTTTATATTCATACTTGTTATTTCATTAAAATATAATAAATAATACTAACTGGTCCATGGAAGAACAAGATATAATAGTTTGATCAGTTTTAAATATTACAGAAGATACTCCGAACATTTTTTTTGATTTTTTTTTTTTTAATATTGCTCCATAAATGCCTAAAATATAGTAGGAAAAATAAATTATTTTATACTTTTGACATTTTGTTTTTAGTTTGTAATTTGTATGTTTAAATTTAGATCAGTAGCATAGTTAAAAAGATAGTTATATAAATAAAACTAACGTTTCTACTTTTGATAATCATTGTTTAGTAAACAATTAAGATAATATGATAAAAGTAATAATTATCAGATTTTTTTCAAATAACATTTAAAACCAAAGAACAGCATAACTATTTACTATATTTACCGTGTGTGTTAGGTATATTGTGTTCAAACTCCAAAGCTCTTTGAGCATTATTTACACGTGCATCCCAGATTTTTATTGAACCATCTTGACATCCACCACAAAATACATCTATAAACAACATAAATAAATTACAATTTTCAATTTTATTATTAATTTATTATATTCATTATGTTGTTTTGAACTCAAGCAGAGTATATTTTTTTTTGATAGCTATCATTTCTCAAAATGTATCACCTTCTATTATTTAAAGTGAATAAAAATCGTGCCCAGGTACTTTATGAGCTGACATCATCTTAACTATTTTTGAGTACAATTTTTTATCATTGGTTAAAAAATACATAAACTAAATATTTAGTCACTGAACTAACTTCTGCAGTGAAGTATCAAAAAATCTAATACATCATTATTAAGGTATGTAAAAAAATACCATAACATTTAAAAACTATAAAAATGTATCTTGGCTAGTAATATTAATAAAATTTATTTTCTCCATTATACATACCTGAAGATCCAGGGCAAAACATTACACTTTTAACAGAAGAATTATAAGCAAAATCTCTTTCTACTACGAGTACCCCGTCTGGTGTTAAATTACATAACTTTGAGGTTTGATCTCCACAGGCCGTTATTAATTTCATTTGTGGCTCAGCCCATGCAAAGTTAAAAATAGCATTTTGGTGTACACCATCTATTTTTAAGAGAATTATAATAAATTACAATAAATAAAATTGCATAAGACATTACAATGTTATTGTATTATGAGCATGATATTGTACAGTAATAAACTTAATATTATACCTATAATAATTAGTAGGTACAACGTTTTTTCAGTACAATTAATATAAATTAAATAGGCATCAATGTGGTTTAGTATCTGTTTGTTTTTTTTTTTTTTTTTTATGTGTGAATCTGAAAGCGTTGGTCTTATTTACATTGGAAGTTATGACAAAATAAACAAAACAAATGTGGTAGCCTCATTAAAATTTTTCCGTGAATTTTAATTGGTGCCTATATTTTATACACTGATAAAAATATATAACAATAATTTTCACACTTTTATATCCAACATCTCAAAATACAGTAAAAAAAAAAAAAATTTAATAATGATCATAATTTACTTGCATTTCTTCCAAAAATCATTACATGATAATAAATAAAAATAATTTGAAGTTAAGATTTCAAAATAATTGAAACCTTGAACTAATTAAAAAGGTTTAGAAAAAGCTAAGTAGTTAATTGATTATTGAACTTACATCTATGTACTTTCTTCTTTTGGTCGTTGTAATGGCCTATAGGCCCTATAGTATTTTGAATAGCTATATCTCCGTGTTCAGTTGAAACACCAACTACGTGTAAATTGTTTTTATTCCTACTGAATTTACAAGCAAAAGTATTTCCAATATGAACATTTGTATTGTGTGTGTTATCATATGTTTGAGGTATATAACCCATTTGTCCAATAAACATGTCACTCAATTTGCTTTTAAATCCTTTAAATAAATAAATTATAGAATAATGAGTTCTTAAAAGCAACAATATTTATACTTAAGTAAGAGTATATAAGTATTCAGTCCAATATACTGAAGGGAGTTGTTGATTTTACAATAGGATTTTATCGTCGAGGTACTCATTTTTTAATCTATGTTAAATACCCATAAATTTAATAAAACTGTGCATAAAAAAGTTACTTTTATAAATTTCATAATAGTAAGAAAAACATGAAGAAATAAAAAACTACCTACTTAACATAATATTAAACATTAACAAAATCATGACACTTAATGAAGAAAATCAATATTTTTAGCAAAATTATTTTATCAAAATTGTTTTCTAATGCAATGATTTATTATTATTTTAAAGTTTAATGCCAGCCAAACCATCATATATACTTCATGAGTAGATAGTATATTTTTGGCCTACCAGGAAATTTTAAAAAGTGCTCCTAAATGAAAAAAGCCGTCAAGGAGTCATTGTATTACACAATAAAAAAGGGTCTCATTGCAAAAATATGAAGGTGGGCCTCCAGGAAATTCCCGGCTTCCCGATAGGCCTATCCGCCCATGTCAGGATTATCAGTGTCATTATTCAAAGGTTGTTGATACAAGTAATTTAAAAATTATTAGGTACAATTAAATAATTGAGGCTTAAAAAAGAAAAATAATTCTTGAGTATAGGTATTCTGTTAATGATTGAACAGTATGTCTACATGGAGATCAATTACGCAAAAAACGGTAAATGAGTTACAAAACTTTATACTAATAAAACTTACCGGTATACCCAAGTTGTCTTTTCTCCATATATTTGAGTACATTAAGTGAGTCCATAATTCCACGAGTGTAAAATGAATCCTGGACTGATTAAAACCAGTAAACAATGACCAACATTAAATACGATTATTCGATGTTTTGGTAGTAATGTTATTAAACATACACGAGTAGCAACAACTGACACGGTTGTTCTTGAAGCTGCTACATAATCATACTACTAATTAGAAACAATTACTAGTAATAAATGATCTTCCACAGTCAATATTTGGACAATGAACACCGTTGAACCGTCCTCAAAGTCTATAGCGTTCTACATGAGTAGAAAACTCGAAATGTCATATTGTCATATAAAGAAATTCTTATAACTATTAACTACTAATTGGTCTAATTTGTATCTTTTGTACTCTTATCGGTAAAATGCCCGCTCTTTTATGCGTCATAACCTATTTGTTGTGACCGATCAGAACTTTATAATCCTGGTGAAGCTGGTATCCACGGTTTAAGATAGAAACGGTTCTATCTTAAACCGTGCTGGTATCTAATGATAAGCGATAATATTGATAAATGATAACTGCTGTCACAGTGTCACCGTATTTATCTATGCCTGTAAACTGTAGAAGGATATATTGTGAATATGACTTCGACACGTCGTATTCGGAACTCTTAACTCGTCAAATTTTATCGTTTTTTGTTATTTTTTAGCTTAAATACGCATTAATTTATTTTCCGACGGTCATATGATTGACAATTGATGAATTAAACTATCTATGAAATGGCTGTACAAAATATTTCTGATGTGTCCCATACACTAACAATATTAGAAGACGGTGAGTTGAAAAAAATTTCACAAAAAATATAAATATTTTAGATTTATTTATTAAATGATACACGGGACGTTCTATTTTAAGGCAGTATTTCACTTATTATGTTAAATTGTACTTTCTTTCTTTGAGATTTGTTACTGGTTTTTAAGTAGGTACCTATCATTTTTATTTTTTAGAATTATATAGAATTCAATTAGCTTCAAAAATAATAATTGGATACACTCATTTTAGAAAAATAATTATACAATTTTTTGAATTAACACAAAATTATTTAATTGTAAATAAGCAATCACAAATTGTTTGTTGTGTTTTATATATTATGCATAACTTTTTATTTTATTATGAGTTAATAATTAGATTAATAATTGTATATCTATAATTAATAAACTAATAGTTCTTAACATTTAAAAAATATTCAAATAACATGTGTTTTATTTTCTAGATTATCTCTCTCAATTTATAACAACTAATAGTGAAAATAAATGTAAGAACAGTGTTGTACAGCTTACTGCAGAAGAGCAGTTGAAAAAATTGAATAAAGGTAAAAAAAAATTAACTTGTACACAATATAGATTTTTTGTTAGTCCATTATTATTATATTTATTATTATTATTATTATTATTTCTGCTGGTGAGAATGGCTTACTTCACAGTTCTTGGCGAAGTACGGGAGGTGTGTGCGTTCTTGACCAATATTAGTTACGTTGATAGCATCCCCATTTATTTATTTTGTCATGCAATCAACCTAATAAATTACATTTTAGGATTGGAATATGTAGACCAACTTATATGTGATCAGACTTATGATAACCATGAAGAATTATTTAATCAAGTGACTTGGACTGAAAATTTAGAATCTATTATAAATGAAATATCATCCCAAATCCAGGTAAATATATAATTGCTTATTCATTAAAATGATTAAAATGTAATATCATATTTTAAAAGAATTTGGTTTGATTAAATCTATATAATATATAATCAAACGTGTCTTGACTGACTGACTGATAAATGTAGAGCATAAATTATAATAACTAGAGACTTGACATTTTGATAGTACCTTCATACCACCAAGTGTTGTGCACTAAGAAAAGATTTTCTAAAATTTACATTTTAAAAAGGTACCCAAACAAGTATTTTGAGATTTACCCCATGGATTTAGTTTATAAATGGTATCCATTGGTTACTCGAGCAGATGAGGTTCTGCTTATTTATGGCCTGAAAGAAATTATATTTTAAAACTAAATGTATGTTTGTAGCTTATAATCTCTAAAACGACTTACTGATTTTATCAAAAATCTCTAGAGATATCAGAAAAATGTATAGTGTAGTTTGAACCACATTAAAAAATATACCAAGTAATAAATCCATTTTGGGACAGATTACCCATCTAGGTTATATTATTTCAAAAAGGGAGATTAATTGGCGCTGAATTTCCCATGAATTCCTACTTAGAGCTGTATTTAAATATTTTGTTAATTTTTCCTCAGGCAAAGTTAGTTACACCTAGTAGTATATAATATATTAAGAAGATGTCAGTGCATTATTTGTTGTCTACTCTAGCCCATACGCAATATAAACAAAACACATTCATGAAAAATCATATTTTATGGTTTATTAATTATTTTAGAGTAAAATCACTCATTATAATTGATAGTGGATATAATATTTTTGAAGGTTTGACATACCTAATATAAATTTGTCTAATTATTACCTAAAACCTATTTAAAATATTTAAATATGCATTTAAATAAAATTTTTTTTTTTGTTTTAAGTTAAATATTAATTTGTTATGTCGAGCCCTCAAAAAATATTCTTTATTATTTTTGAATTGAGTAATTTTACTCTAAGGTTACTTAAAAATCATAAAAAACAATATTACTTGAATGGGTTTATCTATTGTTTTGCATGGACCTGACAGAAAAGACATCTTTTTAACAATATATATTTTATATCAAGGATGGCAAATAGAATTTGGTCAACGTGCCAATTTATGGCACATTTAAAAAAAAAATTTTACCGTGCCACTAATTAATTTTGTTAACACGGTGAATTCTTACAAAATATAAATGAAAAATGAATGATAATAATGTAGAAAAAATTATTAAAAATATCAACTTTTATTGATTGTTAGAAACATTTTGTTTCATATTGCTTGAAAGATTTCTTATATCTGGTTAATGTGCTGTTGCTTGCAAAGTTTATAAATATGTATAGACACATGAAAATCTTTCCGGTGCCATCCAAAATTTCTCCCTTGCCAAGCATGGCACAAGAGAGCCACTTTATTTGCCATCCATGATATATATCATAAATTATCTATGCAATTTTGAATTTATCTGTTTTTACTCCCAGTCATTTTTTCCAAATTGTCTTCTCACATTTTTTTAGATTTATAATCTTCCTTAGTACTCAGTATTTCTAATCCTTTCTAAATCATTTCTGTTTATACTGTCATATTATTCTTGTTTGTAGTCAATAAATATTAAATGTAGGTAAACACCAAATTCATAATATTTCTTCATAATTGGTGTTAACAAAAAAATGTTTTTGGTGAACGGTAGTTGCCTTGCCTTTTCAAAAACCACATTTATAAGTTATAACCCTTATCATTTTAAAGGCCGTCCACTGCCAATCAATTTCTTTCTGAGACAAATCCTCAATTTTAGATTCTACAGATTAATGAGTGGTATTTTCTATTTCATAATTTCAGTGTTGGTAAGTGGTCTGGCTTAAAAAAAAACTACACCAATAATCATTAAACTAAAAAACATATTCTTAATTTTACAAATAGTGTTAATAGATTCTACCATAGCCACTATTTTATCCTAAACAAGTATGATTTATTTTGTTAATTAATAAACAGGTATTATAAAGGAAGTAAAATGTTGTTTATTGTATTTTTTTAGAACTTGCAATCATCAATTGAACTACTAAAATGTAAAATTGTAGATTTATTCGTTAAAGTTCAAACTCAAGTTATCATACTGAATAGGTTACATGCCATTTGTGATTTATTAAGGAAAATTATGAGAACGCAAAGTCTAACATTACAAGCACTAGACAAAGAAAATGTTATGTCATCTCATTCAATGTTAGAAATTAGTATGTATAAATTCAATGTATTCATAAATTGTTTAATATTATTGTTTGTATTATTTTGTTTGTTTGAAGTTAAAAATATTGTAAACATGTTCAATGATAGTGGGGTAGGTATAGACTATAGAGAGGTATAAAAACCATATAAAGAAAATATTAAATGCAAGTCGCTTAACACATGGACTGCCATGTGACTGCCGGCCGTCATAGTTGATCATTACTACCACGCCACATGACCGCCAGCTACCGTAAATGAATATGGTTTTATATTATTAACTTTTTCTTCTGAGCGGAGCCATGGATGTATTGAATTTACAATAATTTTTTTTTTTTTTGTATACACGATAAGTAGTCAAAATAATGCTTTGATTTTCAACTTCAATATCTTTTCCAATGATAAGGTAAATCTAGTTGGTACATCCTGGACGTCAAAATTAAAAATACCATGTAATTTTCAATAGTGTCTGGATAAACAAAACAAAAACTAAGGAAAATAGGGAATTTCTATTCGAAATTGGTTTTAGACAAAATTGATTTAGGCTTTTGGTGTACTCTAACAAAAATTACCATAGATATATGAAATTTTCACTGAATGTTTATACTAGCATTTTCTATACTCAATTCATTTTTTTTAAATATTTTGACTCGTGTTGACCTAATTATAAGCATATGAAATTTTGGATTGTTATTCGTTTTTTTTTTAAATTTATGTCGATAAAAAATTGTTTGCTCTCAAAAAACTTTAAACTGTAAGGGGTTGTAAATTAAAAAAAAAGTTTAGCATAAATCCACAATAATTTTGTATGAGCGTCTGAAGTTCAAATGTTGACAAAATTGGTAAAATTCACTATAATTTGCAAACTATTTTAGTTGGAAGTTAATAAAAAATTTTCTTTTTACATCTATGATTTGAAAATTTAATACAAGATTCTTTGTAAGTTGTCTAATTTTAACAAAAAAAAATTCTACCAGAAAGTCAAATTAAATTTTTATGAGCATTTGAAGTATAATATTTTCTATAGATCAATTGTCTTATTTTCTTATAATTCAAAAACCAAGAACTGTGGACCCATGAAATTTACACCATATTTTATTTTATAATTTTCAATACTCGATAAAATTTCCAAAATATTTTTAATTTTTTGAGCAGTTTACTGACATTACAACTTTTAAATTAGTTTTTTTTTTCTATTATTTAAATATCAATAAAATTTTATAAGTCGGGTCAAAAAGTTTGAAATATTAATACAAGGCCTTCACACATTGTTATAATATCAATCTAAAAATATTAAAAATACATAGGCAATATTTTTTTGTAAGTATTTAAAGTTAAAATTTAACAAAATTTATCAAATTGAAAATTTACAAATTATTTAGCATTTAAAAATGTATAAAATGTTCAATTTTTAAAGCTAAAGATTAAAAATGTAAAACAAGGTTCTGAATAAGTAGTTCATACTGTGACCATAAAATCTAATGAAGATATAAAAATAGTTTTTTTATAGTTATTTCAAGTTCAAGTTTGGACAAAATTAGAAACTTAAACGAAGTAGAACAATTTTAGTTTTGTGTTATAATTTAAAAATCTTTTTGGCGCGTACTTGAAACTTCTAAAGTATATCATTATATACAAATATGATAGTATACTATTAATATCAATTCAACTTACCAGCTACCGTATTAATAATAACAATATAATATAAAATATTGTAGGCTGACATACCGTCTCCGCTTAGAATCGTTTTTTGTACACAACAATATGATATCATTGAATTCAAATTTAACACAATCCATTACAGTGACTCACTTGTAATCTACTGTACAGCAGAGACACACTGACTCACCCACTTTTTTGATTTTGATATTTTCATCATGAAATGTTTTTTCCAAATACAATAGTATATATACAAATTTGGAATGACACTGAAAACTATGCTTGGCGTATCGATGGGTGAGGCGGTCACATGGCAGTCAATGTGTTGATGAATTACTCTGTATAATTTAACTTATTTCAAACATACTCGTTCCATACACTCAACAAAATATATAATTATACCTAATTTATGAAAAATTACAGATTAAACTTAAAAGTTCAATGGATAAGCAAATAATAGTTTTGGTATACCAAATTTTTTTTGTGATAAGTAACTTCTCTAACCCAATACTGTGACTCATAAGATTTTTTTTTTATTCTTAATATACATCGGCGACAAAGGCCATTAATTTCAACTGTTTACAATTACATTTTTTTTTTTTTACGGTTGGGCTTAAATTTTACTATACATATTGTAGTTTTTATTTCATCTCATTAAACATCTGTTGTAATCTTATACGTCAAATTTATTTTTATTTTTAAAATTTGTTTGATAATAATTATAAAGTTTATTAAAATTAAACTAAATTTTATACTTTATTTTTTAAAATTGTATAAATACGAACTATTTATAGTTTATCCCTTTAATTTAAAGATGGATTTTAAAAACAAACAAAACTTTTTTTAATTAATTGTATTATATTTAAAATATTGAATATGCTACTCCGTGGTAATAGTATTAAATCTGAATTACTCGTATTTCTTTGTATATAAGCCCAATAATAGAATAGTATTTTTTTTTTTTTTTTTTTTGCAGAAGAATTAATTGAAGATAAAGATTTGAAAGAAATAACATTTTTAAGCAAAGATTTGATCAAATTAAGTAATTTTTGTGAAAAAAAATGTATGATTGGATTAAAATGACACAAATTTGATATTTATTATTTATATATTTTGTAATTGATCTTAGTTCTTATGGTTAATATGTATTACAATGTATAAGATTATGTTGTGGAGAATTATGTAGTAATTTCATTTATGTTTTCTGTTTTCTGTGTATATTATACTCTAATAAAGTTATAATATTTATTAAAGTGTAGTTGGTCAATATGTTAAATATATTATGCCCCCCCCCCCCACACGAACATGTTCAGTGGGGCCCATTATCTTCTTGAAGAATAAATAAAAATAAAAAAAATTAATAATATAACAATTCTATTTATCCATACAGTTTGTATCTGTATGTTTTGAACACTTGGTGCCATCAAATATTAAAATTTTTTTTAATTTACGGTGTTATTAATACAATTTATGATTCACACTGTTTACAGTTAGTAAACACCATGGAATTAAAATAAAAATATATATAAATCAATATTTCATGTCGTATAAATTATTATTATTTCGTTACTATTGTTAATTAATATGAATTATCATTAAAACTATTCTGAGAAAAAAAAACGAGCCTCTTTGTTTTACAATTAACCTAAAAATGTTGAAAGTACAAAAGTAAAAATTTTCGAAATTAAATGATATTTAACCATAGTAATTGTAAGTATAATTATATAATAAAATATCCTTAGAAATAATATAATATAATTGACAGACAGTATCAGCTTAGAATCCTTATTCATATACAAATATATACAATGATTTATTGGATTCAAATTTAACACATCCATTACACTATTACAGTGACCTACTTAATAACGAGTGGATACACTTGACACCTGATGTACAGCCAATGTCCGATCTATGTTATTTATAAAATTATAAAAAATGAATAATATCAAAAATGTTTAACTTGATGCGGATTATTTTTAAATAAACTGAGGAAATGTAAGTTATTTCAACTGTCAATTAAACTATAGTTAAGTTCATAAGTTGATTAGAAAATGAACTAACTAGTAAGTCAAAAAGTTGAACTTTAAATTTTTAACTAGTTAATGCCCACCTTTGCGCATGCCGCATTCTTTCCTCCCAACTTGGCTGAACCTAACCCGCCGAGACCCTCGTCGGCTTTCCTTTTATATAAATACTATATAACTATTATAACGCAACGCCATTTTGATCAGTGTTTTCTGCATCCACTGCAACTAGTAGTGCAACCTTTTTTGCAGTTACACCTTACACGAAATTAAGTTTAACAAGATTTACCATCAATTACAAATGTCAAATGTGGTTGAGAAATGAGTAAAAATCAGTAGAATAAAGTAAAAAGTGACTTATTATTGCCAATACACTTAAAAGGTCCTCTGATTCCTGAAAGCTTGTTAGTTGTTAAACTTAATTTCATGTAACTGAAAAAATGCAACCACTACTAGTTGAGGATGCTAAAAACAAGGATTAAAATGTTTCATAATCTGTGGCTGTTATAGAGGAAATTGTTGTCTTAATGCGATGGAAGCAATTGACGAAGATGATATTCAACATAGGCGTGCGCAGACTTTTTTCGCAGGGTATGCCACTATGGCACTATTTTTAAACATACCTAGCTCAAAACAAAATATAACTCCCCAAAAACTCTTAATTGGTACAGTTAATAACTTGCCACATATAGCGAAAAGAAATTAATACCTACCTATGCGTTTTATTTAGCTTATTTATTGGTTTTAGATATTTTAATTTCAAAACTTTGTACTACTGTGATTTCATTCAGATTTCCAATGAAGTAACAGTATAGAAACCTACAGGCTACAGACATTAAGATCATATTAGAATAATATAATAATGACAAAAAATTATAATCTAACTAATCGAAATTCTTTTAATTTTGATAGTTGTATAGGTAGTATGAAAATAGGGAATACTGCAGGGGCCTGCAAAATGTTCTGGTGACAAAACCAAGAACGGATTAAGGATCAATTGGGCCCCGGGACACAATACACTCAGCGGGCCCCCTTTCAACTTTAACTTAAAAATAATTGTATCATTACATATTAATGACTTTATATTATTGTATAATTTTTAGTATACAAAAAATATACAGGGTATCTTATGTCATCGTACGCGGGTTTTTTTTTTAACAATTATCGGTCGATGATTTCATTAAAACAAAAAAAGACTTGTTTCTTTATTTTAAACAGGACATTTTTTTATAACATTTTCGAAATTTTTAAACACACAGTTGTACCAATAATAAAATCGACTTTATTTTTTCAAATGGTTAAACCTAATCATTATATTTTTTTATGGATTTTGGTAAAGCTTTTTTTCTGAACATTTTGACAGTCAAATGATCAATTTTGTTTTTCTAGATTATTAACTATGGTCCTCTAAAGTTTAGTATAATATAACTTTTAACTGAAACACCTAATTTATAAGAGCTAAATATTTTATTCTTATAACTACCTTTTTATATAGGTACTTATATAATTAAATCAGTAATCAAAAATGCTCAAAAAAAAAAAAAAAACAAACAAACAAACAATATTGTTGGCAAACATAATATGTATACATAGGTTATAGGTATAACTAGTTCTTTATCTAACGTAATTTTATCGTGATATAAAATTGGGAACAATTTTATTTTATAATTATTATTTATTAATAGTAATTTACCTATACTATACCTACCTACATATATAATGTTTTTTTTTTTTTTTGTAAAACTGTATTGGAAGCGTAAAAAAATATATTTTTCATGGAGATAAAGATGGGCCGTGGGCCCCCTTTGCCCCCCTTTAATCCGGACTTGGACAAAACCCGTAATTCTCACGAAAATGGTGGATTTTGATTTCAACTATATTATCAAGAGTTAGCAATCTATTTTATTATTTATAGGTACCTGTGGTGATTATGAAAATATAATTATGAAATCTAATTAATATTTGATTTCGTCTCAACTGCCAATATTTTATTATAAGAAAATAATATAAAAAATTAATCAAAATATTTAAGTTCTTGAACTAAGATACTATGAACTATCTTAGATCATGATTCTATAATTTATAATCAAAACACTTACAACTAAAAACTTTATGATTAAGATAACTATCTGCAGGGGATGCCATGGCATACCCGGTATCCCCCCTGCTCACGGCTATGATATTCAATACCAGATGAAGATAATAACCAACCAAAATAGAAATAGATGAAGAAAACACTGTCAATCAGGTACCTAGCCACCTAGGTATATATTTATAAACAATTATAATAGGTTAAATTTAGGATTCGGGACTTCTTGCATTTGCATGTTTTTTTGTAGTGGTTGTAGATTCTAGGTAATTTATAAATTTGTTTTATGAAATGGTGAAATTAATTAGAAAGTTTGAATTTGCATATTTTGCATATTTTTGATTCTGAGTGAAACGATGAATGTATTGATTTTACAATGATGTGTGTTTTAGATTCTGAGCGGAGCGATGAATGTATTGGTTTTACAATGATGTATGTTTTTTTTTATATTTTTATTTATATTTTTATATTTTTGTATCTGTCATCACGTTTTAGGACAGTAAAAGTGCTTGGATTTTCTTCATCAGTAGCTTTTCTGGTAGGAAAGTGAATATAGTTGGTACTTTGGGGGGTCAAAAGTATAAATTTCCCAGTAGTTTTCACAAGCGCCGGGAAAAACAACATAAAAATTAAGGAAAAACAAGAATTTTTACGCAAAATCGGTTTTCCAAAAAATCGATTTTGGTTATTGGTTTAACTCTAAAACAAATGAACGTGAAAAACAAATACATGAAATTTTCACTGGTTGTTTATATTTGCATTTTCTATACACGATAACATTTTCAAAATATTTTGATTTATTTTGAACTGTTTAGGGACATTTTCATTTTCCATTTTTTTTTAGTTTTTTTTCTAAAAATATCAATAAAATATAATATTTATTGGTTGCGAAAGCTTGAAAATTAATAGAAGGCTCCTAATATGTTGTTTCAAAGGCAGATGAAAAATATTAAAAATCCTTAGTCACAATTTTTTTTTATAAGCATTTAAAGTTCAAAAATTGACAAAATATGGAAAAATCACGAAAATTAGCAAATTATTTTGAGTTAAGAATTCGTAAAAATTTTTCTTTTTAAATCTAAGATTTGAAAATGAAACACAAGATTCCTTATAGGATTATCTACCTTCATCAATAAAAAAATCTCTACCGGACAGTCAAATTAAATTTTTATGAGCGTTTGAAATTCAAATTTTTACAACATTGGATTTTCACTCGATTACTCATGTAGCGATTTCCTTATTTTGTTGCAATTCAAAAACGAACAACTGTAGATACATGAAAATTTCACTGAATGTTTAAATTAGCATTTTCTATACACCATACAATTTTGAAAATATTTTGACTCTTTTTGAGCTGTTTATGGACATTTACAGCTTTCAATTTTTTTTAGTTTTTTTTTCTATAAATATCAATAAAGTTTTATCTGTTTGGCCAAAAAGTGTAAAAATTTAATACAAGGCTCCTGATATAATGTTACAATAGCAGTTGAAAAATATTAAAAATACATAGGCACAGTTTTTTTTTATAACCATTTAAAGATCAAATTTTGACAAAATTTATCAAAATCTCGAAAATTATCAATCATTGTAATTAATAAATTATAAAATGTTCAGTTTTTATAGCTAAGGATTGCAAATTCAACACAAAGGTTCTCCGGGTTCTCGTTAATAGTTCATACTGTAACCAAAAAATCTAAAAATTATATGAACACAGTTATTTTTTACAGACATTTTAAATTCAAATTTGGACGAAATTACATATTAAAAAACCTAGAATAACTATTTTAGTTATTTTGTTGTGATTGAATAATATTATTCGTGGGTACTTGAAACTTCTAAAGTGTACTATTGTATATCTATGATAGTATTACGGTTTTTGTTGATGTATAACGCTTATAAGTACCTAATGGATATTGTGATATGATTAATTTGGAATTTATTACCTATTATATTTCAATTTTTTGTTT